CCGCCGCCTCCCGCTCGCGGGTCTGTCGTTGCCGGCGCGTCTCGACGCCCTTGCGCTCGTTGCCCGTGGGCGCCACCACCGCCGCCCGGGCCTCCTCCTCCTGCCGCTGCCACATGTCCTCCGCCACCAGGTGCTCCCGGGTGCCGGCGGCGGCGCTGCGGCGAGGCGCGGTGTCACCGGCATCGCGCAGCTGCCGCCTCGTTCTGCGCCCGGGATTGCTGCTGGCATCGGGCAGCCGCGTCACGTACCACTTCAGCCACCATAACTCGAACGCGAGGCACTCGATCCAGGTCGCCGCCTCGCTCTGCTGGGCCGGGTTCTCGTGCAGCGCAAAGGGCGCGGTGACGTGGTCCGCGACGCGCCTCCGCACCGCGGCCTCGTAGTCGTGGAACGAGGAGCCGCGCGGGACCTCCCGGCAAAAGTGGCGCTGCCACTCGCGCTTGTCGTGCTGGCTGGGGTCGGCGTCCGCCGGGCGTGCGTTGCCGGGGGCGGCGGGCTCTGGGAGATCGCGGTGGTCGCGCTGCCAGGCGCGGAAGTCGCACCAGCGCGTGTACTGTCGCTGGAAGACCTGCCGGAGCTCGGTACGCGTTTCGTGGCCGTACGGCTCCGGATAGTCCCAAAAGGGCCCGATCAGGTGCGGAGAGCCTCCGGGCGCGCCACGCACCCGGACGAAGGCGACCCAGTCGTAGACTGGCCGGCCGCCGTCTTGGACGAGCCTGTCATAGGCGTCCCTCTCGCTGCGCAGAAGAAGTTCATCTGATGGCGGCGGCGTCGTCGGCGTCGTCGCGCTGCCGACGTCATCGCCGTCGTCGTCGCAGGCCACGGCTGGTCCCGACGCCGTCGGAGGGAGGGCGCCGCCGTCGCGGAGGGCCTGGAAACGGGACTCCTCGAGCTTGCCGACGTTGAGGAGACAGCCAGGAATTGTTTGGTCCAGGTCTCTGGTAGAATGTTAGCGAGCGGACTGGGTAAGGCATAGGTAGGGACATGCTTGCTTCAATCGTGCGGCGAGGAGCGTCAATTCTTCGAGTGACAACTCCTTCCAGCCTTGTAGTGTGTTATGAGGCGTGCAGTGCGACTGGCGATGCTTGCTCATAAATTCGACCAACTGCGCGTCGCTGAGATCTTGCAGGTCCTGAGCTGATACCGGCTCTGTTGCCGACATTGTGAGTGTTTTCAGTAGGTCTTGCTTTTAGACGACAGGGTTTGATTTGATCTTGCCGGTGTGAATGATGCTTTGGGTTGATCTTGTTAGTATCAAGGAGGTTTTGAGTTGATCTTGGTGTAATTGAGGGTTCGCGTTGGATTTCCTCTGGTGTGTAGAGCACAGAGTTTAGTCGGCAGTTCTTGCTGTCAAGGGGCGCATGTAAGCCCGATGAGCTACACTGCTTGAGTTGAATTGAGAAAAACAAAGCAAAAGACAGAGACGACAGTTGTTGGCTTCCCAAGACTTTATACCCGCCACGAGCCGTGACAACTGCTGCCTTTGTGCTACCTGCATACAATGGAAACAGACTACTACGCGCCGTGTTACCCGCCGATAGTGACATGGCCAACCTGATTAAGGCACTGTGATTTTGTATCTCCTGATCCTATACATCTTTATAATTTCATCCGATGCTCGGTACCTCCATTTCTGTCTCGACGAGAACCGAGTGGCTATGCAACTTCACGTTCAGCCCGAACCCACCTCAGCCGTCCAAGTGGCGTTGCAAGGCTGTCTGTCGATGGCCTCCAACATAGGTCAGTCACCCTGCTGAAACCTGGAAACCTGGTTTAAACAACTGCCTAGAGGACCATACCTGCCTGACCGTCTGTGAAACTCAAAAGCGCCCCCATCCCCCTTTCCTGCCTAAAATCGCCGCGCCAAGTGCGACGACGTTCCTTTGTCTTAGCCGGTTTCGAGCAGAGATAGTTTTTTTTCCCTGGGGGTTTTTTTTTTTTGACTACTATGCGCCTCATCAACGTCTCGTCGCTGGCCGTGGAGGAGTTCTTTGGCGAGCACGTCCCGTCCTATGCCATCCTATCGCACACCTGGGGTGCCGACGAGATGACGCTGCAGGAATGGGGTAACCGCCAGGCACCGTCGGTCCAGCGCAAGTCGGGGTATCAAAAGATCGTGGAAGCCTGCCGGCTGGCCAGCGCGCACGGGCTGGACTACGTGTGGGCGGACACCAACTGCATCGACAAGACGAGCTCGGCGGAGCTCTCCGAGGCCATCAACAGCATGTTTGGCTGGTACCGGGACGCCCGCGTCTGCCTCGTGCATCTCGAGGACGTCGTGGGGACCGGCGGAGACGTCGTCGCGCTCTTCCAGCGCGCGCGCTGGTTCACCCGGGGCTGGACGCTGCAGGAGCTGCTCGCGCCGGCGTGCGTCGAGTTCTACGACCGGGACTGGACGTTTGTGACGGACAAGCAGCGGTGTATCGGCGCGCTCTCTGCCGTCACGGGCATCCCCGCGCGTGCGCTCCGGCGCGCGGCCGACGTCCGGCTGGCCAGTACGGCGCAGCGCATGTCGTGGCTGGCGCGGCGCACAACAACCCGCCGCGAGGACATGGCGTACTGCGCGTTTGGGCTCTTTGGCGTCCACCTGCCGCTGCTGTACGGCGAGGGCGACGCCGCCTTTGCCCGCCTGCAGGAGGAGCTCATCCGCTCGTCGCACGACCACACCATCTTTTGCTGGTCGTGGCCGGACCGCGTCGCGCCGCCGCCCGCCTGGATGCCCGCGCTCGCGCCGTGCGCCGCCGCGTTCGCCGACTCGGGCGACTATGTCCAGCGTCCCGGCCCGGGCATCGGAAAGCTGCCGGCCGAGTACGCCGTCACCAATGTCGGGATCCGCATCCAGCTGCCCATTCTCTGCAGCTCCTCCACGACGTGCGTCGCGCTGCTGGAAGCACAAGTCGAAGGCTCGAGCGCAGAGACGTGTGTCGCGATTGCGCTGCAGCGCCCGGCCACCATCTGGACCTCGGAGACCGTCTTTTGGCGCGCCAGGTATCCCAGCAGCCCCATCATCTTGCCACATGGCTGGGCTGGAGCGGCCCTTGACGTGCGCCTGGCCAAGCCCGGAGCGCATCCCGTGGACTACGGGCTCGACGCGGAGGCTCTCACGACGCTTGCGGAGCGCAACTCCGGTTGGCCTCGCTTCCAGGAGTCAAAGTTCGCGCTGATGATACTTGAATGTCTGGATGCGGGCATCCCTACCAGACCGCTCTGCATTCGTGACCAGGAGGATGGGGGCGTGGTATTCATGAAGCCTACTTACACTCCGTCGACATGGTGCCACCTGTTATCCCTGTCCCGCGTAGACAAAGATAGAGGGTCTGACATGGTCACCGTCCTTGTGCAACAGCGTCAAGACATGGTAAGGTGGGGGGCAGGTTACGGTGCGGGCGCGCTGGAGCGACAGATGGAAGGATCCTATGGCGACGGTTCAAAAAATACGCTCTTGGAGATGAAGGACCAAGTTGCTGTTACCGTGGCGAATGACTTGGAACTACCCGCGGCAACGATTGGGCGGCTAGCTGGTGCCAGGATCGTTCCTGTCCTCATCCGGCATACGCATCATTACAAAGAGCGCATCAGCGACCGTATATACGCAGCTTGAAAGAGCATTCATCAATACTTTGATTAATATTATGAAAAAAAAAAAGAGCATAGCGTGCATGGTATCCGTCTGGAGGGTAGTACATCAAAACAATTATACCGTCAAGGCAAGCCATACATGTACAATGCAGACCTTGATTCAGGAAAACAAAAAGAACCTCTCCTGGATATCAAGGAACACCCATTCGAACCGCCAGTACATCATCCTCCGCCGTAGACGAGTGTTTACAGGAAGAGGGCGGCAGCGGCGGCGCCAATCAGGCCGAGGGGCGAGAGGGCAAGCATGTTGCCAGCGCTGGGGGGAGTTGTGCTGGTAGGCGAAGCGGTGGCGCTGCCTGCGGTCTCTGTTTGCGACGGCGCGTGTGGTTAGCGAATAAACGAGCATTTTTGGGTCGAGAGGCGAGGGAGGATTGGTTAAAACGTACTGCTGGCGCTGCTGGAGGCCTTGCTGGAAGAGCTGGTGGCCGAGGCCGACGACGCCGAGGTCGCAGAGGTCGAGGCAGAGGAAGCCGAGGAAGCGGAAGAAGAGGAGGAAGCGGAGCTGGTGGCGGAAGAGGAGGACGAGGCAGACGACGAGGCGGCAGAGCTAGACGAGGCGCTCGCGCTGGATGAGGTGGCGCTGGCGGTGCCGGACAGGGGCGGGAACGAGGTCGGGCCGGTGCCGGTGTAGGCAAAGATGCCGGTGTAGTCGTTGTTGGCGTTGTCGTCGGCGGCGGTGCCGGTGACGGAGTTGTCCTTGACGCGGATGCTGTAGCTGCCGGAGCCAACGTCGCTGAGGGTAATCTTGGCCGAGGTGGTGGCGGAGCCTGGGAGTTTGAGTTAGCTTGGTTGTCCCGAGCCTCAGGAAAGAGAGAGAGAGAGAGAGACGTACTGTCGAGGACCTTGACCGGGACCTGCTGGTCCTTGGCGCCCTGCATCAGGTACACGGTGCACCCGGCGGCGCAGCCCGAGAGCTCGAGCGTAAAGGCCTTGCCCTCCTTGGGGTCAATGGAGCCCGAGTTGGTGATTTGGGGTTTGGCGACGACGCCCGAGGCGAGGGCCAGGACGGCGGTGGCGGCAGCGACAGAGTACTTCATGTTGGAAAACGAGAGTGTGTTTTGTGGTGTAGAAAAAGCGAGTGTGTGTCAAGTGTGGCCAGAAGAGAGGAAGAAGAAGAAGAAGGAGGAGCAGATCGTAATGCGAACCAGGGGGTGGGCAAGGTGGTAATCAAATAGCTTCAGAGGAGATTGCAAGAGGGTACGTCTCTTCCAATAACAAGAAGAACGGTCCGGGGGGGGGCGGTGGATTGGAACTTTGCTGGGGTGGTCGAAATCTAAGCCACGAGAAATTAAATCATGGACGCGACTAACTAGGTGGACGAGCTTAGCTAGTCCGCTGCCAGACATATTTTTTCTTCAGCCCTGCTTCAGCTGGAGAATCGCCTTGTTCATGCAATTTGTACAGATTATTACGGAGTGTTGAAGAATACAGAGCCGCCCTTGCAGCTCGGTTGCGAACCCATGCCAATCTCGCCTCTCTTTCCCCCCCAAGCTTCCAGAGAACCCCTTTGCGACAATGGATCCGTTGAATACGAAGAGAGCTTCCCATCCCAGATGGAGTTTGAACTAGCTATTGCAGAGTACGAAGTTTCCCCGGTGACGATCCGGTCTGGACCCTGTGAAATAGGGGGGGGATGGTTTATTAGTTCTCAGTGGCGTCCTCTGGTAAGCCCACCACCGCCGCCCCCCTAACACCCAACTAGTAATAACAATTGAACTGATATTGGAGCAGAAACAATAACGAAGAGAAAAGAAAAGAAAGGGGAGCTGGATCGGGCTGTAGGTGGCCGGACCGGGCGGGGTGACGTGTCGGCTGCACTGGAACGCATTGTATTATTGTAGTATTGACTAGTTACAGAGGATTCCTGTATTATTAACTGTATTAATACAATCAAAAACAAGGCTGCGCCTACTTTGGTGACGTCGCCTGCGTGCCAGAAAAGACCCTCAAGACCCTAAAGCTAGTTTAGGTGACCTAAAGAGGGAGAGCCGACTTTGTTTCGCGGGTGCCTGAACCCATTGTTTCCCCTACTGGAACAAATCAATGACGCAAAAAGGGTGCTATTTCTCTAATAGCCTAATAGAGCGTGGTTCGGCTGCCATCACCAAAGCAACTCCGGCAAACCATTTAGTTAGCCCTTTGTTGCTCCTATTTTTCTTGCCTGCTTTTTTTCGCCACACCGGCGAATTGCCGCGTAGGGAAATAGGCCGAGAGCCCATTCTTCAACAGCGGGCAAACAAACTGGGAAAAAGTCTGGGGAAGCAGGAAACAGCGCCGGAACCCGGAACCCCCCCTCCTTGCAGTTTGGTGGGCTGTGTTTTTATTTTTGAGGGCATCGCGTGGCATGTGATGCGCAGGTCCACTGATCGCTTGCTCCCACCAGCACAAGAGCGTCTGGTCAATCTTCTGCCAATGTACAGCATTGCGAGACGAGGGAAACATGGATAAAATCGCTATGCATTGTGACGACATCGTCGCCCGCTATCCTTGTGTGCATGGATGGTATGTACAATCGCCACCCGCCATCACCGTTTTCGCCACTCAGGTTGGGAGCCCGCCTCGTCATCATCCCCTCGAACACGTTTTCGTCCAGCCGCCTCTATGGATTTGCTATCCTTCCCCTTGACGGAGTCGCGGGTGGCTGAGATATCGGCATCATCGTCCACTACATCATCCACCTTCTCCGTCTGCCCCGAAAGTGGCACCACTGTCGACTCTGAAGCACGCGGAAGCACGACATCCACAAGCCAAGGTAACTGCAGATCCTCGTCTGATTCTCCTTTTATGGATGCGTTGACAAACAGGGTCTTCTTGCCAGCGACATGCTCAGACACGGTTGGTACGCTGCAGCACTTTTGCGCCGTGTACTCTTTCAGCTTCTTCCTCTTCAAGGCCGCCTCTTCCGGCGTGTCGAATCTGGTCTCGTGGACTGTGCTGAGCTGCTCAATGAGACTCGAGGCCGCATTGTCAATATCTGTCAGAAAAGACGGGGTTTCTCTCAGCGTGCCTCGCCACGCCACCATTTTGGCGCCCCAGCCCTCGTGGATGTGCCCGAAGCAGTGCACCTGCGGCCGCGCCCTGGCCACGGCGGCAAAGAGGTCCGGGCAGCCGGCCCGCTCGCGGTTACTGGTGCGGTCGAGGATGCCTCGCGGCGGCCCATGCGTCACGACAATGTGCGTGTCCTCTTCAATGGCAAAGTCGTGCCCCAGGTTTGGGTGGTACTGGAACCCCCAGTCGCCCAGCGATGGCGTGTACGGGCTCGCGTAGACGCGCAGCTTGCCTCCATTCTGCAGACAAAAGTCGTGCGTTCCCTCGTTCAACAGGTGGATGCCGTCCTGCGCGGCGTCGGTGAATAGCTTTCCGGCTTCCTCGTAGTCTCCGTAAAACGTCTTGACCAGCTCGGGTTCGAGGGGCGGCTGTACTGCGTGGATTTTTGCTTTGAAGATGGCCGTGTCCAGTGTGAAGTCATGGTTTCCCGCAATGACGAGCTTCAGAGGCGCGTTGATCTTGCGCAGGAGCGCAATTGCGGAGCGGAATTCTTCCAGTTTTGACTCCTCCGTCAAGTCGCCTGCGTGGATGCAGACGTCTGCCTTTATCTGATCGGGAACTCTTCCCTCGAGGGTCATACCATGTGTATCGGATAATATTAGGACCGAGGTTTTGACCAGTCTCTCCTGGGCAGACATTTTGCTCAAAGGAGAGTGCGGCCGCCACAGACCATGATATCTCTGTTTGTTGTATTGCCGAGGGTTCGCGAGTAAGACAGTCCCCGATATTCGTGGAGGCAGTCTGAGCCGTATTTGAGCAAAATTATCTGTTCTCGTAGTCTGTGGATGTAGAGTGTGTTTTTGGTAGGTGTAAAGTTGGGAAGATGAGAGTTGGGAAGTTGGAAGTTGGAAGTTGGAAGTTTGGAAAGATGAGAGTCCTGTAGGCAACGTTGGCTGAGCGCTAACTGATACAGACACATTTTACGTCTGACTCACAATATCACAGTAGGTTCAAGTGCCTCGTTATGGGAAAGTTTAATTCATCAGGTTCAGTACCTGCATACACTTTTTTACTTTTTTACGCTGGTAGTATTCTAGGTAGGTTCTGTTGCGTGTCAGAGTTCGCGCAAAGCTGCGCTTAATAAAGGTGAGGCGCAAACCTGTCGCTGCACTACAAGTCAATGGTATCATACTTGAAATTCTGAGACATGTAAAATGTCGATTGTTCTGAAGTTGGAAGTCGTTCAAGTTCTGTAGTAATTGCAAAAACATCTGTAGTTTATCAATGTTTCAATTACTATCCAGACTCATCCACCTAGCGCTGCTTTCACCCTCCATCATCTTCATCATGTTCGTAGTCTTATCTGGTTTCTTATTATTATGACAGACCGGCATCAGGGAGACAAAGAAACCGCCGGTTATAGCTACTTTCTTCCTTGTACTTTTACTTTCTGATGATTCTCTTCTTTGTCTCATCTATAATGCGTAGTATTTACTTATTCCCATGTCGACGAGGCTGTGAATTTATGAAATATATCGTAGAAAATACAACCCTTGTCTACTATTGTGTGGAATCCAATCTTGTCCCTCACGCACCACCCAGGATCCTCTCAAACACCTTCTCCAGCTTGGGCAGCACCACGGCCTCGTTCTGCGCAATCTGGTAGTGCGTCACCAGCCGCCCCCCCGAGACGACGAGCCCCTCGTCGGCGCACATGCCGGTAAACGCCTCGGTCGTGAGCCCGTGCGCCTCGACGTCGATCCAGCACATGTTGGTGTGCACGGGGTGCACCAGCCGGCCGCCGCGGCCCGTCCACGCTGCCTCGACCTTCTTGGCCGTCTCGTGCGACGCCGTCAGCAGCCCGGCGCTAAACGTCTCGTCGACAGCCACACGTGCCGCCGCCGCGATGAAGCCCGGCTGCCGCATGCCGCCGCCGAGCGACTTGCGCACCCATCGCGCGTGCCGCAGCGTCGCCGCGTCGCCCACCACGACGCTGCCGACCGGCGCCCCGAGGCCCTTGGAGAAGCACAAGCTCACCGTGTCAAACGGCGCGCACAGCTGCGCGAGCGTGCCCGCGCCGGCCGCCGCCGCCTCCCACAGCCGCGCCCCGTCGCAGTGCACGCGAATGTCGTGGGCGCGGGCAAAGGCCGCGATGCGCGTCATCTCGGACAGCGGCATAATCATGCCGTTGAGCGTGTTCTCGAGGCTGATGACGCGCGTGGGGCACGCGTGCACGTCGGTGCTCAGGATGGCATGGGCCGTCACGTCCTCGAGGGTGAGGTGGATGCCGTTTTTCGGCACGACGGGCTTGACGGTGGCGCCGGTGAGCGATGATACTCTGGGAAAATCGGCGGGATCAAGGTTAGGTTTGGCCTGTACAAGGTGCGCGGGGAGAAAAAAGGACTCACCCGCCGGCTTCGTAGAGGATAATATGCGAGCGGTGGTCCGCCAGCACGCCGAAAGGAGGCTGCGTGAGCAGGCTGCGGAGGGCGACCTGGTTGCCCATGGTGCCCGAGGTGACAAAGAGCGCGGCCTCTTTGCCGGCGAGCTGGGCGACGTGCGCCTCGAGGTCGCGCGTCGTGGGGTCCTCGTGGAAGACGTCGTCCCGCAGCGAGCAGTTGGCCACGGCCGCCAGCATCGCCGGCGTGGGCACCGTCATGACATCGCCTATAGTCGGGCCCCGTTAGCGCGCGGAATCCAGCGACAATATTTGAAACGCATGCCCAGGGACATACTGCGGAGGTCGAGCGATCCCGCGCCTTGGGCGCCGATCCAGGCACCATGCTCGTTGCTAGCCATTGTTTGTCGATGCGCTACGCTCCCAGAAAATTCTCTGGTGGCTATGCCTCTTTGAACGGAGTACTTGATACGAAACGGCAAGTCGACCTTGTTATCGAGCAGCACGGTGGTGCGGGGGATGCGCTTGATATGCTGGACAAGGGCACTCGCCAGCCTGCTGCTCATGATCCAGGTTCCCCACGCCTTTTGAATCTCCAAGGGCGCACCGAGGGGCCGACTCCGCTTTGACACGGCTGACAAGACGTGTGCTGGTGGATGGAAGTGGTGGTGCAATTGCGTAACTAATCCAATCGTGCACTGGTGGGAGTACGGAAGAATGGGGGAGATGTAGGAACATGGAAGGCGCCGCTCCGGATCGGCGCTCGAACACGCGGGGCATTCAGTCGGGTGGAGACGGGGCTTGCGGGCACCGGCAATCCACGATTAGGGCCGGTATGCTTCGGCAGTTTGGCATTGCAAATGTAGCAATATCTCTTGTTCAAAAGTACGCCCTGGGTGAACTGCGTATATAAGGCCCATTGCGCCGGCCTTCATGTCGCGGTTCCAGCCGGACCTTGCCACCTGCCAACTCCATTCGGCAACGAGATGAGCGAGCGTCTAGTCTTTGCCTCTGCAGAAGATTCTAGAATTTTTCTCATGCATTAAATAAGCTTGTATTGACGCGAGCTCGAGAGGCTCAGCCTCGACTTATAGTAATCCCTGTCTTTAGCTCTAACATGGGCCGAACAAGCTGGCAAGCCTCGGCGCCCAACGACAACTAACGTGCTGACTTGGCAGCTTTTCGTAGGCAGCTTGGTCGCAAAGCCGAATCCCATCTGACTAGATTGCCGGTGTATGTTTAGCGTCTCCGATAGAGTGCAGGATATCGGCGCGAAATCGCGGGAAGCGAGCAGATAACCCTGTAAGCGCCAGCTTTCATCAACGCACTTGCAGGAGTAGCCGCGAGGGGGCTGGGGCCGTCCTTCTCGCTCATGACCATGCTATTGCCGTCGGCGCGCCTATCCAAGTGAGTACAGGCCCTTTCAAAGGGACTGGGCCAGCCCCCCCATCTCTCCATCATTGCAGATCTGCATGGTACCATGGCCCTCTCCAGCCTGGCCTTGTGCCGTCGACTCGTTCGGCGTCGCGGCGTGGTACGCACTCAGCGCCGTCGTCAGCAATGCAGTCGTTTACTTTGAGGTCGCGAGGATCCAGGCCATAGCCAGCGAGAACCCGATGACGGCGCAGCCGATGAATGGCCACGTTGCTCCGAGAAGCGAGCAGCAACAGCAGCCAGCTCAGAACTCCCACGCAAGACTTCCCTGGACTTGCAAGTGGTTCCTCAAAAGCCTTCTTTGCCAATATTACGAGAGTCCCTCGCTCTAGACTGGCTCTCATCCAATGATACACGCCTCTGCAGCATAGATCCATGGTTCGGCCCCCAATGAGGGGATCCCCAGCGATGTTGGGCAGCGAATCCACGTTGGCAGAGGGAGAGAAAAATGCAACAGTCGATAGGACAAGTTGTATACTGCCCACCCACCCCGTCTTGATCTACATCAAGAATAGATCTTCCTTATAGATGCAGTCATGGCACAGTATTTTTCTTCGTCTTCATGTCGACCTGCCTCGTACGACACACGGTCCAGGATGGGTGGTCGTGCCATGATTTTGCCTACGCGCGCTGGTATGCGTGCGGCCCGTAGCAACGCGGTCAACAGCGCAATACGCCACTCAAAAGAATCACAAAATCGCGACCCATGGTCATTTCTCCCATCGATAAAACCGAAACACGCCTTCAGTCGCTCGCGCAGGCGCAAATTATGCCGCAGCAACGTGCGCCGGTAGTGCAAGCTTGCTGCGCTGGCCTTTTTTTTTTTTCCGTCGGCCCCACGCATGCAACCAGACCAGACTGCAGAGATGAGTTGGCATGATGCACCACCAGCTGTCTCTTGCGGCCCCGCGGGAAAAGGAATGCGCCTGTGGCTGCGGCCCTGGATTATATGTTCCTGGGCTTGTCCCTCTTCTTTTCCCCGTCGCCTTTCTTACCTACCTATTCTTTTCCTCTGCCGCACCATGTCCTGGCCGCTCCATGTCCATCCACGTCGATGCTGCGCGAGTTCGCTTCAAGGGATACGCTTCTCTTCTTACTATTAAACACACGTGTGCTGACATGTGCTACAAGTCGTGCTGCGGGCCTATCATTATTCGTGTCTCGTCTCTCGTCATATGGCCCAATCGCTCGCCACGCCATAAGAGACTGGCAGTATAAACAAAAAACCGGAAATAAGGAAATGCTCCCTTGCAAATGCCCAGGACGTCCCAGATAACATGAAATAGCGCACACCGATGTCGCCCTCGGTTCTGCTTTGCCTTTGTGTCGCTTCTCTTTCTAAACACGAAAAGAAATCATAAAGATCCAGTCTTCCACCGAGATTATCCCATAACAGAAAAACAGACTAGAACGCCGACTAGTGTTTTTTTCCCTGGTAAGCGCCGATGTACAAGGGTCTCTCTCATCGAGTCTACCGTCCTGCCCATTTGACAAGAAACTGAACCACAGCGTCGAGGTTTGTCTCTTCCTTGGCACTGATGCCATAGCAGCACACCTCGCGTCCTTGTATCGATCCCAGGTCCAGCGCATCAATCAGGTCGTCGACCGACATTTTATCTGGGAGATCTGATTTGTTGCCGAGTACCAGTAGAGGGATTCCGCCAAGGGACTGGTAGCTCATCAATGAGTGCAGCTCTTCCCTGGCTGCAGGAATCTGTGGCATGTCGGCAATATCGACAATGAAGACAATGGCATTGACGCCACGACAATACCGTTCCCACATGGATCGAAATCGCGGCTGACCGCCCAGGTCCCAGCACTTCAACAACACATGTCCATGCTGCACCTTTTTCAAGTTGAACCCGACTGTCGGTATTGAGCTACGCAAGAGTTAGCAAGCCAAGACAACAGCAAAGAGCAACCTCGCGCAGGGCCCGAACAAGCGGCGAGGTCATGGGCGATTGAGAAAAAAGGCATCGGCCAGTGACACAGTATCATTACAGTCGAGGGGGCGTTGTACATACTCAACTGTGAACTCTCCTCCCTACATGGCACAAGGTATTAGTCTGGATCAAAAAGACAGCCCGTATTGGAAACATACCGACAGGACACGCAGGAGCGAGGTTTTGCCTGCGTTTTGCAAGCCCACAACCGTGACTTCCATTTCCTGAGCCCTAAACAACGTGCGTCAGTCGAAAGATCATGCTGCATGTTGCAGAGCCGGTCTGTCTGCCCTGAGAGGGGTAGGTCTCTGGGAACCCAGCGTATCTCACGGAAGAGGCCAGGCTGAGGACGAATCGAATCCTATGACGGAAATGATGCGGCAAACAGGATCTGGCAAAAGCTTACCAAAACGTGCGCATCAGCCAGTCGTACACCTTTCTGAACAACCCAGTCATGCTGGCAGATTGGCCTGGGGCGGCAGAGTCCCCTGGCGCGTGGTCGACAGAGTGTGAAAGTATCGTGTTCGGTTGGGTTCGGTCTGGTATAGGTATAGCACTGCTCGACGGAGCACGTAGCTCTTCGCGTGATGGCACGGTGGCTGAGAGGCCTCGCGGCGAGGCGCAAATATCTGGGAGGCTTGCGTGCTTTTGGCAAAGCGTATGGCAGATGGACAGTCCCGTGACAAGCTATGTAGCTTGGATGATCGCTCAAAGGAAGCCTGGCGGTGGACTAGATGCGTCGTTTTCGGATGGCCGTGTTGTGGGCTGGGCAAAGCTTGGGGGGTGGTGTGAATTATGTTGGCTCAGAGGGCTCTGGCGGGAGAGCAGCGAGGAGCAGTATCCTCGGTTCACGTCTGCCACCAGGGGAGCTGGTCGGGCATGAGCCGCAGACGGGGAGGGGCACAAGGCAGAAAACAAAGGACCGGCGTGTGGTTGGAGCTTGATGAGGTGGGAAGAGAGAGAGAGAGAGAGAGAGGTGTGGTGTTGCGGCCCGTGTAGGAAAGCAAGAAGCGAGAGTGGCAGCCAAGGGTACATGGCTGGAGGTAGGCAGAAAAAAGGCAAGACACTGGAAAAGGTACCTGCGGCCGTTGTATCGGCTCCAACCCCACCTGCCGCAGCAGGCAGCTGGTTCGGGCCCTGGAGCGGCCCGCTAGGTGCCCGCGAGGCCCGCCACGGTACCCTTGTCCGAGGTACCGAAAGACGGCTGTGGTGCGGCGCCGCAACCATGTGCAGAGAGAGGGCAACAGTAACTAGTAGAAGTAGTAGAAGGTGGCCAAAGAGAGCTGAGCAATATGAGCGAGGCAGAGAACCCAGCGAGACACATACACATGCAGCGTTTCTGGTTCGCTGCTGAGTGGGATAAGTTAGTGCTCTTAGTGCAATGCTTGCTCCTCTGCACCCCAGTGGCTGGAAGCTCGTCCCGGCCGGGTGCCCGTCCGCTGCGGCCGGTAGGTACCTAGATTCTCAGAAATGAGTCGGTACCGACTTGTGTCTACATGTATGGCCGAGGGAAGTAGATAGGTACAGGTAGGTAATCGGAAACAAAGCTCAAGGTGGTGGGTGGTGGCCTCTCCGTTCTCAATCTAGGTACCTGAGTAGGTACCTAGGCGAGGCAGGTAGGTGGACAGCCCTGCCATCACTAAAACAGTACAAGTCGATCGCTTCCATCCTAGTTAGACGCTTTAACTTCTAACCAATGAAGAGCTCCGGCTACCTGACGACAGTTAGGCGCCCAATGTACAAATTACATAGATGATTATCTGTACCAACCCCAGCATTCTGGATCCAAAACGAACACCTTTTTTTTTTGGCGTTTTTTTTTTCTTCATTTATTATCGTGTTCCAGATTTTTTTACGGGAACCCCCTCGCCCACTTTGGTTGGCCAGGGTCCGATCTGCCTTGTCTGCTGGAGCATGCAGACAGGCAAGCAGGGACCCCAGAGACATTTTGCTGGCCCCTCACCACCCACCACATCGTTAATGAAGGCACCAGCCGCCTGTTTGGCCCATCGCACCTTGCATCGTCAGCAACTGCAAGACCGGAACCGCCGTTGACAAGCACGAACCGCTCATCGACTCCCCTGCCTACCAAATACACCTCCCAAACATTCCATCTGATAATCAATCACACATCTTCAACATTTGTCATTCCCACGCCGCTACATAGGTACCTGATTGCCACCACAAGGTCGCAGCGCCCGCCTCGACGAGACGTCATACCACAAGCCAGTGTCACCAGACCCTCTACCTTGTCCTTTTCACATCCGCCCTCTCATTCGCTTCTTCCTCTTCCCAACACAACCCCGTTGATCCTCAGGCCCGTCTCGGGCAGCTAGCCTCTGGCCAATGTCCCACCGTTGCGCCGAGTCCTGCTTCCCCTTCCTTACCTGCCTATTGTCTTCTTGTTTTCCGAGTCTAGCTCCCGCCGCCAAGGTCCTCTGATCGCTCACGGCGCGCAAGCGCTGGTAACGCTGCAAGAGGTGCATAGTTCGGTAGCTTCTAGTGAGTGGCTGCTGCATCTGCTTGGAAAGGCCCCTCCTACTCCCAATGTACTGCTACTTGTGTTGTGCAGCATGCCATCCTCGTCCTGCACCGTTGCCGTTGGATACATGTGCAGTGTGACACGGGATACAGCTGCCCGACTTCCTTTTATTCCGAGTACGCCTATAACTATTGAATCCGAACCGGCGGCTGTTCACACGTTTACAGATTTGCTGCGCACGGTGAAGACTCCGACTCACCGACTCGATGCCCTCGTCTCCATGTCTGCCACCACCTATATCGGGTGCAATATTACATCCGTACTCGTTGACATAACCCCGTCAAGGCTCAGCATGAACCCTCAATCGAAGGTTACCTTGGCGGAGGATTTGCTTGGCCGCAACCTAGGTATTAATACGGGTAATCTGTCCTCTGCTTAATTCTACTAGTACCCGCCCCTCAAGAGTCTATCCCGCCAACCACTCCGTGTCGCTGCTCCGCCTACCGCACCGGCGTAGCCCAGGCTCCCCAGCCCCATGCTGTGATATCAAGGCCGCTGCTTCGCGCCGGGAGAACGGCGAGGCTTGCATCGTGCAGCGTGCAGCTTGCAGCTACAGTGTGCAGGCCCTTGTGCAGCTCGCAGAAAGCCACGGCTGGAAAAGACGACGCAGCAAAACGGCCTGCCATTATCCAGTCGCCGTGTCTGCCTCATGACCATTCATTTCGGCTCATACACCATCCAGTGATATATGATGAATGCTGGGGACGACGTAGCACTTGGCCGACATAGCTTCCCCTCTCCAGATCACATCCGTCCACTTTCTTCCTTCACCACGGTCATCTGCTAGTTACTGCAGGCCAAACATAAAAATGGATAAACACCATCAGTCATGCTGCAGGCCACAGATGCAGGCCGCTGCCCCTCCTGCCTCGTCCAAGCCCAGTGTGGCTTGCGATCCTTGCTTGCGCTACCACCCTGTAGACGCTATTTAATGGTACGTAACGCATCGAGACAGACATGGCCTCAAGACGGCCTCGCACGCCACAGTGTAATCAAAAGCTGTCGCCTTTTTGTCAGTCAAACGGCTCGTTTGCGTGTAATGTAATTCAAGCAATTGCGGCACCAAGCCGGCCGTGCAACACCATATTCCGCGAGGTAGCAGCACTGTAACGCAAGGTGAGAGAGAGGCACAGCTGCTGAAAAGCACAACCCATCCATCTTCACCGCAATACTTTGGAGGCACATTTGCCACAAGTCAACCTGTGTGTCTTGCCTCCATGTTGAGCTTCCACTGTATACATGCGGCCAATGGCCACAGACGAAGAGGGAGGGGCCGGCCCTGCAAGGCATCGGCTCTTCTCACCTATGAGAGACGAGACTTTCACCGAAAATGAACACTATGAACGACTGCCGTGTGCAACCCGAAGAGGCTCTCTGTTCCAACTAGCGACCTGCTGGCTGGCTGCTCACTGGCCCGTTGTTCCTTGTCCCAAAGGTACCAGCTAACTGGACCGAACTGTTGCCGCAAGCTCTGAAGCTCAGCCGCCCCTCTTTGTTTTGCCCGCCGCTTCTCTTCTCCAACTGCACCCCACTCAAGGAATGGGTGGGCACCTCATATCGATAGCACTATCTCATGTGACCTTCTCTTATCGCAACTTTTTTTTTTTGGCCTGCTGTCGCTGGTCTAGGAGAGTGTCAAACGCAACGGATTCCGGGTCACGATTTCCTCGTTCACAGCACTCTAGGATACGGGTTGTTTGCTGTAACTGTGCTACTGAATGTGCGCAGCTTTAGTTCAACGTTTGAGTGGTATAGCGCTCTCCTTCACCTCGCGCAACTTCGGCAGCTCCCACTGGTCAGCCACTTTCAACCTACACAATGGCTCCCTCAGCGACACGGACCGATTGGGACCACGAATATCATACTCTGAGAAGGGAGAATCTCTTCAGAAACCCTCCCAAGGATCATACCGCATATCCTGCCCTCCAATTGGCAGTTAACCCTCACATCGAGTCCTTCAATGTCCTATTTCGTGACGATGGAAAGCCCAGCCTCCTCGACCACGCTATGGCCGATATTGGCACCAAAACTTACTTGGACGGCGACGAGAGAACGGGCCCAGAGGGCAAGAACAAGCTCAATGTCCGCATCACAAAGGTGATGCTGAGCCGATCTCAGGTTCCGCCCTCTAACAAGATGGCCAAGAATCGTGAAGTTTTCCCCGCCGAATGCAGAGAACGGCATGTCACATACCGAGGGCGTCTCTCGGCCACTTTTGAATACAACATTAACGGCGGTGACTCTCATGAATTTGTTCGAGATCTGGGTCAGATTCCGATTATGCTCAAGGTATGATTTGCTGCAGCGCAATCTGGTATCGTGCTGGCCGCTAACATGTCGAAGTCGAACCGCTGCCACCTCGAAAACAACCCACCTGCTCAACTAGTGCAGCGCAAAGAAGAGGCTGAGGAGCTCGGAGGGTACTTCGTCGTCAACGGTATCGAAAAGATCATTCGTATGCTCCAACTCAACAAGCGAAATTTCCCCATGGCCATCAACCGACCCAGTTTCCAAAACCGCGGCCCTGGCTATTCCCCGTTCGGTATTATCCTACGCTCTGTCCGACCCGATGAGACCTCGCAAACCAATGTCTTGCACTACCTTACCGACGGTAATGTGACGTTTCGTTTCTCATGGCGAAAGAATGAATACCTGGTGCCGGTCGTCATGATTATGAAGGCTCTCGTCGAGACCAACGATCGCGAGATTTTCGAGGGCGTCATTGGTCCCATGGGCAGCAAGGCGACCGAGAACACTTTCCTTACTGATCGTGTCGAGCTACTCTTGCGCACATACAAGTCCTATGGTCTATACAGCAAGTCTCAGACGAGAGCGTATCTTGGCCAAAAGTTCCGAGTCGTTCTCGGTGTCCCAGAGACCATGTCTGATTACGATGTCGGTACCGAGTTCCTGCGCAGAATTACCCTGGTGCACCTGGGCAATGTCAATGTCAAGGATAAACAGGATATCGAAAAATTCAAAATGCTTCTCTTCATGATCCGCAAGCTCTACGCCCTCGTCGCCGGCGAATGTGCTGTCGATAACCCCGATGCGATCCAGAACCAGGAAATTCTTCTAGGCGGTTTCTTGTACGGCCAGATCCTCAAGGAGAAATTCGATGAGTTCCTCGGAGTCAATGTTCGCTTGTCCCTGCGAGAGTACTTCCGACGACACCCCAGCGTTGCCTTCACTTCCGAAGAATTCCGCAAAGAATTTCCCGCAGCCATCTTCCGCAAGGCCAACGAAAATCTGGGCAACTCGCTCGAGTACTTCCTCTCTACCGGTAATCTAGTCAGTCCCTCTGGTTTGGATCTTCAGCAAGTGGCCGGTTTCACCGTCGTGGCCGAAAAGCTCAACTTCCTACGTTTCATTGCTCATTTCCGCATGGTACATCGTGGTGCCTTCTTTGCCCAGCTCAAGACCACTGCAGTCCGAAAGCTGCTTCCCGAATCATGGGGCTTCATGTGCCCCGTACACACCCCTGATGGTGCGCCTTGCGGTCTTCTCAACCATTTGGCACACAAGTGCAAAATCATGACTGATCACATCGACGTTTCCAAGGTGCCTGCTCTCGTCGTCACACTTGGTGCTGTTGACACATCCACCGCCTCTACGGCCGAGAGCGTCGTCATTATGCTTGACGGCCAGATCCTTGGTTGGTGCAAGCCCAAGGAGTCCCTGCGCATAGCAGACTGCCTCCGCTACTGGAAAGTCGAGGGTAATCATGGTGTACCTCTTCACCTCGAAATCGGTTACGTTCCCCCATCTACAGGTGGCTCGTACCCTGGTATCTACATGACGTCGACACCCTCGCGCATGATTCGTCCCGTCAAGTACTTGCCTCTGCAAAAGGAGGACATGGTCGGTCCCTACGAGCAGCCGTACATGTCTATTGCCGTCGTACCTGAAGAAATTGAGTCTGGTCTATCCACCCACGTTGAGTTTGATCCCACAAACATTCTCTCCATCCTGGCAAACATGACTCCATTTTCGGATTTCAACCAGTCGCCACGTAACATGTATCAGTGTCAGATGGGTAAGCAAACCATGGGTACCCCTGGTACGGCTCTGGTACATCGTACAGACAACAAGTCGTACCGTCTGCAGACCGGTCAGACGCCTATTGTCCGTGCTCCTCTGCACAATGCTTACGGCTTCGACAATTTTCCCAACGGAACCAACGTTGTCGTTGCGGTCATTTCATATACCGGTTACGACATGGACGACGCCATGATAATCAACAAGTCGGCTCACGAGAGAGGATTCGGTCATGGTACTGTCTACAAGACAAAGAAGATCTCGCTCAAGGATGACTCGAGAACAAAAGCAAGCAAAAGTGTCATCAAAGCCTTTGGTTTCGCCCCGCACAGCTTCGTCAGCGCGTCGTACCAGGGCATGCTGGATGATGATGGTTTGCCGCATGTCGGCCGTCTGGTTCAGGATGGCGATGTCATCTGTGCTTGGCACACGGTCACGCCCGACTACCGGGGTGACCTCGTCAATCTGGATGGCATTACGCATTACGAAAAGTACAAGGATGGTGAGACTGGCTTTATCGAGGAAGTTCGGCTGATTGGTGCCGAAACCGGCTCCGAGCCTCTCCAGACCATTTCGATCAAGTTCCGCATTCCTCGCGCGCCAATTATTGGTGACAAGTTTTCTTCTCGCCACGGTCAAAAGGGTGTTTGCTCGCAAAAGTGGCCAGCCATTGACATGCCCTTTTCCGAATCCGGTATGCAACCCGATGTCATCATTAATCCCCACGCTTTCCCGTCTCGAATGACGATTGGCATGTTTGTCGAGTCGTTGGCTGGCAAGGCCGGTGCCCTACACGGTCTCGCGCAAGACTCGACGCCCTTCAAATTCAACGAGGAGCACACGGCGGGTGACTACTTTGGCCACCAGCTGATGAAGGCGGGCTACAACTATCACGGTAATGAGCCAATGTACTCGGGTATTACGGGCGAGGAGCTGGCTGCGGATATTTACATTGGTGTCGTCTATTACCAGCGTCTGCGTCACATGGTCAACGACAAGTTCCAGGTGCGTACGACGGGTCCCATTGTGCCGACAACCGGCCAGCCCATCAAGGGTCGTAAGCGTGGTGGCGGTATCCGTGTCGGTGAAATGGAACGCGACGCGCTGCTGGCGCACGGTACGGCGTTTTTGCTGCAAGATCGTCTGCTCAACTGCTCCGACTTTACAAAGTCGTGGATCTGCCGTCGGTGCGGCTCCTTCTTGTCGGTGCAGCCAACAGTATCGCAGTTTGCACCGTCGCGGAAAAAGGCACCGAGCGTCGTGCGCTGCCGCCACTGCGCCGTCAGACTCGACGACGAGGATGGCATCGACCTGACGGAGATTCAGGGCGAGATTTGGGAGGACGGGCAGGGTCACTCGTGGGTCGGCGGCGACCAGACCACGCAAGTCATCGTGCCGGGTGCGCTCAAGTATCTGGACGTGGAGCTGGCGGCAATGGGTGTCAAGCTCAAGTACAAAATCAGCCATGACGACGAGCCGCGCAGAGGAGCACTGCAGCCGCTGCCACTGACGGCTATCAAGGCGTAAGGCGAGAGAAAAGTATATATCATGTTGAGCTATTTTTGTGGATAGTCTTGTTTTCTGTCCTGTCGTTTCTAGAGTAGATGAGGCACAAGTCACGGGGACGTTTGTATACCTCTGGGGGCGCATTTATGAGCATAAGTCAAGCGGTTGAATTATGATAAATCAACTATACCTCGTTAATTAACATGTGACTGTGACATGAGAAGAGAGTTGACTCGTCGTGTTTTGCAGGCTGTCGCACAAACGGCTTGTATACAAGCGAGTCTATGCGACTGGCTGGGCATCGCGGTCCCCGACGCTTCACAAACTCCAAGAGATGTGAACCAAGATGGCTGAGATTTCGCATCTCTACCTTGATGTGGTTATTGCATACCCAGGCCGACTGCGTAACTGTCACAGGACGCAGCGGGCAGGACAGAAAGCGAAAAAAGTCCCGAGGTGCATGCCGACAGCTGGCAGGCACCAAACACGGCACTTCTTGCTCGCGACGCGTTTACCAGAGGCCGCCCAACGCCGCGACTGCATCTCCTGCGGAGCAAACCAAACCTCGTCTTCTTCTTGGCTTCTTTTCGCTTTCTTCTCGTTCGATTTCCTTCATCTTTCTGTTTTCGGCATTTCTCATTTCAGATATCCGCCCTCGTTTGGGGATACACAAATTCGATCATTTTCTGGTTATCACGAGATACAAACGCCACCAGCTCTTCTGCACCCGAACGAACAAGAGCCTGCTCTTCCCTCGATTGCGACTTTAAAAAGCAACGAAAGTTGCTTCTTTCCAGGAAGCAACGCACTACGCACACCTAAGTCTAGGATATATCGTGATCGAACCAAGATAGTCGATATTCGCATACTCAAGACTGTCTCTTATACAACACAAACACTGGGTGCCACAATACTACTCGTCGTTCTTCTTTATCTATTCAATCTTTTCGTCTTCAATTCGACATCACGGTTCGACACCACCGACATGCTTTTGGCACTGTTGCTCACGCTCGCTGGCGTGGTAGCCTCCACAGCGCAGTCATATGACTATGGCATTGATATAGACCAGATCGTCCGCAGACAAGACCCTTCGGCCAAGATTATCGTCGGCAAATTGCCTTTGGCTTCTAATGGAAGCACGCCCATTAGGCCCGAGATACGCGAGTTGAGAAAGGACGGCTATATGTGGGATCTGTACATCCTAGCCCTGAGCATGTTTCAGTCCGTCAGCCAGGACCAGTCGCTATCGTGGTACCAAATTGCAGGTAAGGCGGCTCTTTAAATTTTCATCCTTTCACTGACACTCGCAGGTATTCATGGCGTTCCGTTTCAACCGTGGAATGGCGTCCAGCCTGCGCCAGGAGCAAGCCAGTCAGGCTATTGCACTCACAGCTCAGTGCTCTTCCCTACGTGGCATCGTCCCTATCTAGCACTCTACGAGGTATGTACTCTGCGATGTGACTTGTCCTCAACTGACATTTGCAGCAACAAATGTTTAAGCTGGCAAATGCCATTGCCAGTCTGTTCACCAACTCGACGGAGCGAGGGTTGTACCAGCACGCTGCCTCCCGATTCCGTATTCCGTACTGGGACTGGAGCTTGCCCGCTCCCGCTGGCGAGACTCATCTTCCAGATTGCTTCTGGAGCCCGGTTATTGTACAATATGGGCCAAATGGAGCACAACATATTCGCAACCCGTTATTTTCGTATATGTTCCACCCAGTAGACGAAGATGCCTTTATCTGGAATCCAGTAAGTTTGCCTTTACCCATCGCCTGGAAAGGCTCTGACATTTTAGCTCAAACACTGGAACGAGACGAAGCGAGCGCCGAACATGACGGTAAGCGAGACTGCACCGCCTTCGGAAAACTTCCAGGTTAGTGCCGCGCTCTTGTCGAAACTACCAGAGTTGCAGCAACGACTCTACATCATATTCTCAAATTATCACGATTATAATGCCTTTAGCAACAAGGCTTGGGCAGCGTCCCAAAAAGCGTCAAACCTCGACTCTCTCGAATCCGTCCACGACATTATTCACTTGTATGGAGGCCTGAAGGGACACATGACATACGTTCCGTTGTCGTCGTTTGATCCTCTCTTCTTTTTGCATCATACAATGGTAGATCGCCTAGTGTCAATCTGGCAAGTGCTGAACCCGAATGCGTGGATCCAACCTATGGCGAGTGGCGAGACAAGCTACACGGCGCCGAAAGGAACTATTCAGGATTCCAGCAGTCCTCTGGTTCCGTTTTATGCTACGTCAGATACATTTTGGACCTCGGAAACGTCCAGGACGACGGAAATATTTGGATACACCTACACCGATACAGGCCTGCACGTCGGCGACAGAGGTGCCTTGGAACAGTCGCTGGTGCGCAAGATCAATAGCTGGTATGGAGCTTCCAGCCCAGCCGGAATCGTCGCAAAAGATTCGCAGCTCCGAGTTACTGCATTACAAAGGACTGGTGGGCCTTGGAGTACAAAGGCATCGAAAGGAGTGCCAAATATCAAGCTGACAGCGATGGATCCTCCTGCCTACAAGATTGTCAAAGCGGGCGAGTACAGGGAATGGATCGCCAATGTGCAGGTTAATGTCGAAGCGTTGGAAGGAGTATTCGACGTCCATTTCTTTGTGGGCGCACCGGCGGACAATTCGGCGGACTGGGCTTTGTCGCCAAATCAAATCGGCACCGTTGCCATTTTTGCCATGAATCGGTCAACGGGGTCGAAAGCCAAAATATCTGGCACATTACCGCTAACGTCGGCACTCATGAAACTCGTCGCGACTGGAGCCTTGCCCAACTTGGATTCCAGCGCCGTCAGACCTTTTCTGCAACGCACATTGGAGGTCAGAGTGCGCAGCCACAATGACAGCGTAATTGAGTTGGCTCGCGTTGAGGGTCTCGATATCGAAATCTCCAGCACTATCGTCAAAGTCCCTCAAAGCGATGCCGAACTCCCTGCATGGGGTGAGGCTACTTCGGAGTGGACAGTATGGCGTGAGGAAACATGATAGATGCCGGGCATCGGATTACAAGCATTACACGCATTACAACAAACGATTTTGGGTGCATACTTTAGGCTAGATGTATTATCGCGATTTTGATATGGTGGCAGTTATTGGCGACAGCCACGGCATGTATTTTCTTGGAGGCATTGCATTATTACTAGCCATGTGGTATTATGTTTGAGTCCCTGTTAGAGTCTGCCAATGGATGTTTATTTGTTTGATGTTGAGCTGCTGAGCTGCTGTGAGTTGCGTGGTTGTTTGAGATGAATGATAGTGAAACGAGGTGACGGCGCGCAGAGTTTCAGTTGTCGGGCTGTCGGGCTGTGTGTGGTGTGTGGTGCGACTGCTTACACGATGACATCAGGTTGGACTATTCCACGCCAGAATACGAGTTGGCTTCTTTACAACGACTTTGTTGGCTTGCGCTACCGAGATTAGTTTTCACCGGTTGAATTCCCTAGCCGGCTTGTTTGGCTCTTGATGGCTTTTGATGGACTCTGAATCGGCCAGTCTCTTGTCGCCGGGGACGGTGGGGCCGGCAGACAGAGGTTCCGCGCCGTCCTTCCCTGCTGTCTCAGGCGGTTTAGCGTCTCTTTGCCGTGCTTGCCGATGGTGAGGCGTGGCGCAGATTACGGGGGAAAAGAAGGTTGCGGGCTGGCAGGGCTGGCAAGCGACTTTGTTCTAGGAGGCCTCTAGTTTTTTTATATTCAATACGACGCGAGGGATGGTTGAGTTATCCAGAGACAATGATAGAATGATGTACGGACAGACAAGGAGAGCTGAAACGCAGAACAGGGCGAGACAGAAAGACTTGCGAGATTCCCGGCAATTTTACCCCAGGGTTCAGTCGGGGCAGCTTGGCATCCCATTTTTATCACTAAACGGATCGACATACTCCCGGTACCCCCCTCCCCTAGCCTAGGATTCCCAACGGGCTAGTTAGTCGTCTTGCCTAGGAAATTGGCTGCCGTTTGCTAGCAAAAGCCTAGGCCTGGACCTCTGACCTCATTGATTTCCAGAGAGGGGAAGAGGAGAAGACGGTTGACGGACAAGGGAGTTGTGTAAAAGCGAAAGGAACACGACGATTGGGGCCGCTCAAGGGAGGCCAATTAGAAGTAAAACTTGTCTGAACTCGATATAGAACTCCAGACAAGCCCTCGTCCAATTCTGTACCCCCCCTCTCCTCAACCTAATCGGTTCACTAAAGCTAGAGGAAGCCCGGCTTGTCGGAGAGTTATCTGGTTGTTTCGTGATGCTAGGGGGTGCGGCGCAGTCAAGAAGTAAGCCACTGGACGGCTCATGGACTAGGGGCCGCAAGAGCTGGAGTAAATGTTGATTAGCTTCCATTTTGTTTCTGCGACTTGTTGCAAGCCCTGGTTTGGGGGGATGATGCATCCGTTTAGCACCGGCTGCATGGTGGATAGGCATTAAGAAAGGCAATGTCATAAGTCCCCCCCTCCCCTTCTCAGGTACTGCTCGGTCATGTATATATATATAAAGAGAAACGGGCGTGCATCTGCTCTCTTGCATCCCATCTTCCGTCCCCCATCCCGTTCTATCCAATTCAATCACCATATTCGCTAGTCCTCCTTGCTTCTCATCTTTTTTCCCCAAACCAAACAACCACTATCAACTATGCGCGCCACCACCGCCATCCTCGCCATCGCCGCCGGCGTCGCCCAGGCCAAGACTGTCCACGTCGACGTCGGCAAGGACGGCCTGAACTTCACGCCCTCCGTCATGACCGCCGCCAAGGGCGACACGCTTCTCTTCCACTTCTACCCGCAGAGACACAGCGTCGTGCTCGGCACCAAGGACAAGCCCTGCGAGCCCGCCACGACGGACATGTTCTACTCTGGTTTCGTGCCGAGCTCCAACGGTGAAGCCGTACGTTTTTTTTTTTTTTCCTCGCTTCGCTCGACGTCGGGGAGAAATCTGGTTTTCCAAAATGCTAACGGAGATTTTTTTCATCATGTAGTCAGAGACATTCATGGTCACAGTCAACTCCACAGACGCCATGTACCTGTACTGCTCGCAGGCCAAGCACTGCCAGGGCGGCATGGTGGCTGTTGTCAACGGCGACGAGGCCGCGCTCGACACGTACAAGGAGGCCGCCGCCAAGGCCACCGACAACGTGTCTCCCAAGGAGGTCACCGGCGGCATGCTCATGAGCGGCTCCGGCAGCGCCACCTCGGGCAGCGAGAGCGGCGCGACCTCCACCAGCGGCGCCGGCGCCAGCAAGACCTCGGCCGCCGCGTCCGGCAGCTCCGCCAAGCCCGCCGCCGCCGCTGGCTTCAAGGCCTCCGTCGCCGGCGTCCTGGCGGCCGCGGGCGGCGTCGCGGCGCTGATGCTGTAGATGGGGAGTCGATGTGGATGGGAAAGCGCGGAGGGGCGGGCCGGGGGGGGGATGTAATTTGGATGACTGAAAATGCTCTACTGGTAGAGGTTTAGGAACTCAGATAGTAATGATGATGGATGCAAAGCAAATTATCTTCTCCTTTTATGCAGTGACGCTACTACATTTAGAAAAAAAAAAGAAATAAAAATAGTCCAATAAAGCTTAATGAATTTGCGTTGAAATTAATGTTTAGTCGCGTCGTGGGTAGCAATGTAGGGCAGTACTGCGGTAGTGCTCGTGATGGCATTCACGACATGTCGTCAAAACTAAGCCCGCCAGGATCTCCGGAAGACGATCCGATGCGATCTGGCATCCCATCTACCCGCTGCCTCCCCTTGCATCTTCTTCCCTTTTTTTATTTTTAAATCATAATTTCGTTTCAACGGCTTAACCATCTCTGGAAAAACCTTGCCGTTCGTCGTGTTGCACGCCCCCCTCCCGCAGGTCTGAGAAAACTTGCTCACCTTGCACACCCCCCGCGAGAAGAAGAAAAAAACTTGCTCACCAGGATGGGGCGGCGCTGCTCAACGCCCCCCGCCCCTTTTTCCAAGTATAAAAGACCAGTCTCCTTACTATGAAAAGGTACAAGATGTTGGCGAGCTCACACATCTACGAGTTCACATGTGTTGGCAAGTGTGAAGGGGGCGTTTGTCGTGTATCAGGCCCTCACGTACACCGCGCCGTTGCGCCGTCGACCACTTCATACCTACCGAGAAACATTCCATCACATATTACCGCGTCTTGAGAAACATCGCCTTCCACTCACAGGAAATCACAGCATCGACGCGACGTTGGGTCAATAATCATAATGCATCAGCTCTATATACCCTAGCCCCAGAACGAATACGGAATCAAAGATCGCAACAACCAAAATTTCCCCCAAAAAAACATGTTGAAGAACCAAGAAGAAAAAAAGCCCCAACGCCGATGCAATGAATCTGCGTGATTCGACCTCCTGTAAGTATAGTTGGATTGTGTTTGCGCAGGCCCGTCTTTTCGTTGCCTGTGACGTAATTTTTTGTGTCAAGCCGCGACTGTCTAAAATGAGCTTTCCCTGTCCAATGTCCCCCGGGGGTTCCGTAACAATTATAAACATGGTGATATGTCTGCGTCAGCGCTCTGTTCTTTGGTGCGAGGGACCGCAGCGCCGGCCTATTTAATGCCCACGCCCTTGGCCACGACTTCGCGCGCGTAAAATTCCACCAGCGTGGTGGCGTAGCCCTCAAGCTCCTCGACAGGGATGGCCAGTCGAAAGTCGTTGAGGATGAGGAATTGGAGCTCCAGGTGGTTGAGTTCGGCAAGTGGCAGACCACCAACCTGGGACTGGTTAGTCAATGTCAAAACAGGCATTCAAGCGGCTAGTCATACCTTGGCATATCTCGAGTTGGTGTAAAAGACATCCGAAAAGAATTTGCTCGCGCAGGTGACGCCTGAGATTATAAGGCGATGAATGTTGAAGCTGTCGACAACAAAATAGGTGGCCGGGCTGGCAAGAGGATGGTCCGCGGCAAACGGCTTGGAGCCGGCTTGCCGCGCCGTTGGCGAGTTCACCATGGCATCGTCCGGGTCGTCATCGTCGGCCAGATCAGAGTCCGTCTCGTCCGAGTTATCGACAGTGAGCGTGGTGCTATCGCGCATGGTCGTGTCCACCTGCCGCGAGGCAGAGCGCGAGTGGGCGGGATATGGTTGCGACTGGGAGGCGGCCGTTTGGCGGGCGCACTCGGTCTGGACTCTGTCATTGACACGCTCTGTCATGCGGTCAAAGTACACGAGCAAGCTCAAAAACACTTCGTAGGTGGTTGGGCAGTACTTGTGTATTCTGCCAAGATAGCTGAGGATGGAAATGGCGGGGACGTTCTTGCCGTGAAAAGCAAGGACGGAGTGGCTAAGAGAGCTCATGTGGGAGCCCGAGGAATCGTGGTTCTGGTTGGCTTGCTGCTGGTGGGTGACATTGCGCTGCATCGCGTCGTGCTGCAGATCGTTGGCCGTGGTGATTTTGGTGAGCAGAGCGGCGACCATGTCAATGACGTCGTTTATGGGCATGGCACTAATCTCGTACTGGGTCAGACCGGTCGGGCCGGCGGAGGCGGTGCCGAGGCTGCCCTCCTGGACGAGGATGGTGATGTGAGCGAGATCGCGGACGTGGACAATGGTCTGCGCAGTGGGAGCACCGAGGGGAGGCGCCAGGGGACCGGCAGAGCGTTGGGCAGCAGCCGGGCCGGCAGACGAGGCCTCGATGCGATAGTCGTCCGAGGGCGGTGAGGGCTGCTGTCGGGGGTCGGCGGCTAGAGCAGAAGGGTGGAATTGGGTCGCGGAGACGTCATCTCTCTTGATGGCCTCCATAGACGCCAAATGTTGGTCATCTGCCGGGGGCGGCGGTTGGATGGCGGCGGCGGGGGACGAGGACGGTGGGGGTGAGGGAAACCTGGCGGGCCTGGGGCGTGAGGAAGGAGAAAACTGTGTGGTGCGAGCGGCAGTGGCGGGAGAGGCAGAAGCCCTGGACGCGCGGTGCAGGGAATCCGAGTCTCTGCGAGCCGACGAGGACGAAGTGAGTCGGGATGAAGGTGAGTGGTGTGGCGCGGCGGCGGCGGCGGCGGCGGACGAAGAGGTCGACCGTTGTCGCGCGCGGCCTGGCGACTGTTGGTAGTGAGGAGGCTCGTGGGAGCGGGGCGACTTGCGTTGAAGCGACGAGGAGCTGGTAATCATGGTGTGAAATCGTGAGAGGTCGGTTACGAAGTCGCCGATTACTGCTGCCATTTCATCGTCGTGCAAAAACACCAAGGGTGTGTGTGTGTGTGTGATTTTTTTTCTGTCTCGGTGTACGAGAAGAGGGCGGGGAGCCGACGTGTGTTGTTCCCCTGCGTTTGTGTCTCTGGGTGCAGCGGGGGAGGCAATGCGACCGGGGGAGGCCACTGGAAGCGGGACAGAAGAAGCGGAATGCGTTCTGGAAAAAGTGCGCAAACAATGACGAGATGCTAGATTAGCGGATTGCTCGTAGATTAGAAAAGCAACAACAGATGAAGCAGGGAAAAGAGAGCAAGACAAAATGCGACGCCGGGGAACAAGGAGACGAAGGAGAAAGGACGAGGGAGGTGTAGATGAAGTGGCGGAGTAGCAGTGACGGGAGGGGAGGGAGAAGGAGGAGGATAACAGGATAACTTTGTGGGAGAGGCGGCGTGGCAGCGGGCGGCGAGGGGGATATTTTTTCCAACTCTGGTTGATGCAGGTGGCAGTGAGAGAACTCCTTTCCAGTGGACACCTTTCTACCTGTACTAGACGAGGTAGTGAACTTTCCAGTGGACAGTTGCAAAGATAGCGGCTGGTTGGCGGCGCTTCCGGGGTTGCTCCAGTGCATTATTACAGCAGGGCAAACCCAGAACCCCACCAAACGAGAGGTGAGCACCTAAACAAGCCCACTAGCCCACTGAAATGTGCAGCGCTATCGCTGATCCTCGGCGACAATGAACCGGAACGGCCAGCCCGAGCCAAATCTGTACCAGGCACACCGAATTATCGACATGGCAGGTACCTAAAAGACAGGAGGAGCCGGCTCTCGGGCCAGGGCGGACGAATCAAGGCTGACGTATTGGCGATTGGAGTCGGCAGCCTTCCTTGGGCGCGCGTCTGTGGAGAGAACATGTATATCGCAACACATAAATATCGGCGCTTTTCCCCCTTGGCATTCGAGGGCCGGTGATGCACCGCGCGAACCACCCCCGTGCCAGCGTCGCATCACACCATAATGCGTGCTGCAGGATGTGTGCCCCTCGAGCTGGAGTCGTGGCCCGGTCCTAACACGACGTGACACGGCAGTGACCGAGACGAAGACGCCGAGTGTCGTGCAGCGCCAAGGAACCGGGCCCTGATGTGGTGTGCATCGTGGACAGAGCCGCTGACGCGAAATGGCCTCTGTACTCGGTATCACGTCGCCCGTTCTGCAGGGCATGTTGCCGCGCACGTGGGAGCGTCGCTTGCGGCTGCTGGGCAGGTCGGACGGGGTCGGAGTGTGTGGTGAGATAAGGGAACATGGGAAATGGATGTTGAGGGCAAAATCAGAAAGGAAACTCAGGGCAACAAAACTCACCAGATGCGCGGAGGATGGTCCAGCAGCGCGTCGCCGTAGAATCGGCAAAACCTGTAACTACTTTTCGATTTGTTGGGCTCTGATTCAATCAACTGTTGGTCACGAGCCGCTGTCGTTGGAATGGTCGCTGCGTTGTCGTTTGGATTGATCCGAGCTATAGCGGTAGCACAATAATACTTGTAGTCTCCAAGTACGCGGTTGTTTTTGTAGCCACGAGGCACGAGGAGTATCAAGTCCGCAAAAAAAGGTTCCTGACCAGGGTCTCTGAATTCATCAAGGCACAAATCGTCGCTCACTTTTTCTCGATTCGTCCTGTGGGCTAATCAAGAGGCTGATGGCAGCCGATCTGGTGTTGGGGGGTATGTATGACTGGGTACCTAGGTAGAGCCTGACGAGCGCAGCTTCAACCAAGGCCTTTTGAATCCTGCAAGAACAGGCGGGATGTGAAGGGCGGTATTGTTCGAGTATGGCCCTTTCTTCTTCTTCGGCGTGATTTCTTGCCAGTATTGTCTTCTTGGCGTGGATATCTGGGATGGGGGCTGACTCGGCTGTAGATACTCCTTGTGTACGTGTTTGTGGCGGTCTGCGGCGCAGGCGAGGTAGTTATGCGCGAATCGTGCTTGCTGTTTTTGTCCCTTTTTCTAGGAAGAAGAAGAAGACGAAGAATGATGATAATGATGAAGCGGTGGAAAAGATGAGAGTGTGCATTAAAGGAGAAAGAAGCAGTTTTGTCTCTGTTTGACAGCGCCAGCGTCGTCAGCCCAAGGACGCATGCATGTACGTCGTTTGCACAGGCTGGCGCTATTAAAACGGCTGCCTCTCCCCAACGTGGGTGTCTCCCCGCGCTATCGTTGGCTCTCCAAAGCCAGATACCAACCAGCAGGGACAGCTCAGACCACCACCCTTCTTGAGAACAAAAATGGCACAATGCGTCTGCAAAGTGTCTGCCAGGGGAGGGGGTAGGAGTAAGGTCAGGCAAGGGGATAACAGGAGAAGAAAAAGGAAAAGGAAAAGGAGAGAGAAACTCCTTCGTCCGGGGGGGGGGGGGGCGGCAAGGAAAGGCATCCCCTTCCCGTCATGTCCGGAAATATGCCACTTCTTGTTAGCGCAAGTTTTATTTCTTTTACATAGGTAGATCATAGGTAGATGGAAAGATACTTTTTACAGTGCTTCTTCGGGGGCCTGTAGCAGGAAAATTCCCAGGTCCGCGGTTTATAAGTGACGCAGCCCGCGCCAAACCACGTCGCCGTCTTGCCGCACGTGGGCCGGGCAAGCCATCCACTGCGGGGGAACAACCTACCTATCTACAGGTACTAAGGTACTAAGATACCTTAGTACCTAGGTACGTAGGTAGTTACCACCTCATAGACTTATCAACAACCACTTGTTCCGATTTCCTCTTGACCGACTTATCCCAAGTGCCAGGATCAAGCAACGTTTTTTTTTTCCTTTTTTCCTCTCTCCGACAACTCCAAAATGTCTCGGGCAATCTAGTCTTGTTCCTGGCTACTCTGGAAAGCTAAACTAGCACCGTCCAAGTCAAATGTCTCTCCATCAAAGCATCAAAGCCTCATGCTCGTCCGCTTTCGTCATCCTGGCCCCATGCCCTCGCCACGGCCGCCATCATTGGCCCAATGCAATCTGCTCACTCTTATAATTCACTTTATATATCGTCATCTGCGGCTAGGTTTTATTATGTACTTCTGGGCACCAAGCCATCGGGGCCCTGCGCACGCCATCCATATTGTCCCGTCCCAACATCCCCTTGTGCATGCCACGAATACCTCCAAGGAACAATGCCCACAAACAGGAGATGCACAAGACGCGGCGAGCCAGCATACAGGAACAGAAGCTCATAGTTGATTCCCTATGACTCCATCTTCTATATGCGTCTTTAAAACTCCCTAAATATCCTTCTTCAACCTTGTCGCCTCTCAGCCACCTTCGGATAGACACCTCAAGCCACATGCCACACGCTCATAATTAACGCATAGTTCTATCAGAACCTTTACATTGAGACACCACATCGCAATGCAGCCAGCCTTGTCGAGTCCATGATCGTCGTGCCCTCCGACGCTAATCCCATCCATGTCGTGCCACGTACAACATCCTACACCGGCCGTCCCGCACCTCGCCTCCTTGTACACCGCGACACACTAATCCATGGCCAGACATGCAACGTGCACTCCTCATCACTATGCGCGGCTAATGTTCTGGCCAGAAACGTCTCTGTCACCAACTAGTTACGTACACGCGCCAATTTCAATCACTCAGCTCGCCGTCTTACCCTCACTTTTCACCGTCCTCTCCTTTTTCCACGCCCATCGCATCGCTCAACATACTGTACGCTTCTTGGCCATAAGCCAGAACCTATGATTTATTCGTCTGCTCTCAAGACCGGGTGGGTACTATATTGTACAAACATCTCCATCCTTGCATTCTCCCTCTATCCCTTCTCATCATCTAGTCGTGACGCACAGCATAGTCCGAGTCGGGCAGGTACAGGTGGCGGTCCGCGCCTTTGGCCGTCAGCACCACCATGCGGATCACGCCGCCCGAGCTGCCGTCCCACTTGATGGCCTCGCGCAGCGCTCCCTTGACGAAGCTGACCGCGTCCGCCTCCTCCATGCCTTCCTTCCAGTTGGCGTCGCAGTAGCCGTAGATATACGTTGATCCGGACCCGCCAATCGCATATGCTTGCTTGTGCAGCGATCCGCCCAGCGGAATCGAGTAGACTTGGCCGCCGAACCGCTCATCCCAGCCGGCAATAATCAGGCCCGCTCTGCAAACGAGGTTAGCACCGGCAGCCCCCATGTCACCTTTGGTATGGCGCAGCATATTGGACGTACGATAGGCGGTCCTTGTTGGCGTAACAAAGTTCTTGGAAAATGGACGCCGCGGTTTGCGTAATCGGCGGTTTGCCGCTCTGCATCGCAAACATGCCCAGCTGGTACTGCACAATATCCGCGACAGCCTGTGTGTCGGCCGCCGAGCCCGATCGGCAGCACCAGATGGTGTCGTGTACTCTGGTCAGCTTATCCGTCACTCGGTTGGCAATGTACGAGCCCGTCGTGGTTCGCGAATCGGCGCCTATCCTTGTTAGCTATGACAAGCCTGGTACTCGTCAGTAGTCAATGCCGCGCGTACCGAGAATCACTCCGTCCTTGAATGTAACCGCCATACTACTACCTGTCAGCATCTAGATTGGTAGTTCGATTTCGTGACCGATACACACATTGAGGTACCCAGGCTGCGGCAGGTTAGCTCTAATGACCGCGAGTGCCGTCGCATACAGAAACTCACTTGACCTCCCCCTTCTTCAGGTGCTCCATATCGACGTGGATGCCATCTGTTGCGTCGTTAGCTATTCGTTCAGAGTACAGGGCGGATGGCGGCGAACGAACCCTCGGACAGCACTCCCTTGTGGCCAAACTCCATGACTTCGGTGTATGTAGCGGCTGTGGGAATGAATCGGTTCAGTTTCGACGTGTCAGAAGTTCACTGGAATTCGTTGTTGGCGTAATTGTGATGCGAGCGGTACATTGAGGTCAGGGACGGAGCTCTCCAACTAGCTCAGGCAGCTTCGGACGCGCAGCCGCGACGTCGTCAAAGCTACCTGGATGTGTCACGTGACGCTTCACGTGCACCTGTCGTACGGAAAATGAAAGCAGAAGCGCAAGAGACAAGAAAAGCAGTTTATGTATAGGTCAAGTCAGTGAATTGTATTTTTCGCTTTAATTCCCTCAAAACCATGTCCTAGAACTACGAGCCGGATGCAGAAAAATGTTGATGATTTGAGTACTGCAGATATATGATGATCCCTAAAGTTGCTTGCTCATAATCGAAAAAAAGATAATCAAAAAAAGATACCACCTAAAAAATACAGGCTGATTTCATACATTGTGAATAGCGAGCGTTGCGCTACTCGTTTTTGTCGTCCTTCTTCGTACTATCATCGCCCGCCACCACTGCCTCGTCCTTTTTCTTGTCACCCTTCTTTTTAGTATCATCGCCCGCCGCCGCCGCCTCGTCCTTTTTCTTGCCGCTCATGTCATCCTTCTTCGTCGTATCTTTGCCCGCCGCCGCCGCGTTGTCCTTTTTCTTATCGTCTTCGGCGCAGCCGCAGTCGTAAAAGTCGCCAATGGCGTTGCAGTCAAAGGACGGCTTGCCCAGGCGCTCGTTGACGAGGTTGTGGGCGAAGCAGAGCCAGCCGGCCGCGGCGCTGCGCGACCCGGACTGCGGTGGGTACTCGGCGAGGATGCCGCGAAAGTGGCGGGCGCAGTCGCCGCACGGATAGAGGCGGCCAAAGAGCTGTATAAACGTCTCAAAGGTGGTGCGCTCCTCCTTGGTCGGCTTGTCGGGGAAGCGGGCGGCCATGGTGTGCAGGAACCGCCAGGTCGCGCGTCCGAGTTCGGCTCTGCAGAGAGGATGGGTCAGCACCGTTTGGCTGCAAGAGGGGGGACGGGGAGGGGGGGGGTAAGAGTTTCGTACTTGAGGGTCGCATTCTCTAGTTTGGGCGCTATCGAGTCCCCGTCGAGAGCCGGCAGCGAGTCTAGGTCGATGCTGAACCCCGCCGACGGGGTCGCTGACGGCGCGGCGGCGTTCTTGCCAGTCTGTCCATCGTTGTTGCTATTCGTGCCCGTTGACGCCTGCGCCGGCCGCGGTTTGGTTGGATTCTTGACGGCGGAGACGAAGGACGCTGCTCGATCGCGTGCGGCGCCAGGCGCCGAGGTGAAGAAGTAGGATATGCTGAGAAGTAAAAAGACGATGAGAAGGACCGACAGCGTCAGGTGCTGACGGCGCGCCATCTCGACCAGCGCGATGGGGTGCGAGTTTTGATGTTGGGAGTAGAATAGGTGAGGTGATCTTTTGGGGGAAAGAAGAGGCAAGGTTGCGAGAACAAATGGCAACATAACCCATAGTGTCGGGGCCGCCGCCACTGCGGAGCCTTGAGGAAAATAGGTGGGCCGCCCGCGCCGCCGGTGATCGGTAGCGGCGGTAGCGGCAACAGGACGTCTGCTCTAAAAAATGCTTCGGGGATAAGTACTAGAAAAAGAGCTTAGTGGTTTGTATATTTATTTACTGGTCTCGCTCTGGCATCGCCCGCTCGTTTTTCCCCAAAGACAACCGCGCGTTGTGAAGCGGGGTCATAGTCCATAGTTACCCTATATGTCTGGATGCACCCGTTTTGCGCGCACGGGAGGGAGTCATCTGGCCGTGCAGATTTGGGCGGGCGCGTCGCTGTTGGTACTTGGTACCCAAGAATTGATCTCAGCGACTGTGGTGCCCAGGCGATCGGTGGTCAAGGGTATTGACAAGTGACTCGACGCACTTGGCGGGTTGGCTGATGAGGTGGATTTCAATCAAGTTCAACCCCCCCCCCCCCCATAGCAAATTGTAGGAGACGGTGATTTGCCAAATATTCTGGTGTAGACACAATTCCAGATTCATGATAAAGTGACGATGCATTGCCCTAGTTGGTAAATATTTACTTGTTCGCCATTAGCTTTTTTTCTCGATGAGTCTGCAGCACACGTCTGAAGAATTGTAATTGAGATCATAGTTGGTAAATCTTTACTTGTTCGCGATTAGCTCTTTTTCTCGATGAGTCCGCAGTATACGTGGAGACTGAAGAATTGTAATTGAGATCATGGCTACGTCGTGAAAATCCTACATGAAAGCAAATCCCTAAAATACCTTGTGGAGAGAAAAAGAACCCCCAGACACTGCTAAATAACATCCGCTACTGATTTGGAAATTACGCAAAATCAAAAGCATACTTCGAGTTAGTGTTCCTACCATCGCTTATACCCTCGCTTACACCATACCTGTAGTTGTTGTTAGTTCTGCTCGGTCCTTGGGAGCGTTCAAAATTGCCAAGAAGCTCCCCAGGAGATCGGCCAACCGGCTCCCGATCCGATCCGATCTGAAAGGCAGCTTCAAAGAAGCTTCCCGCCGCCTCATCTCGCGCTTGCCCATTTGGTTGAGAATTCCTCTCGCCTAAGACAGAGGCAGGGGCGGCTGGCGGTCCAGTTCCCGGTTTGGGCGTTACGGCCAGGTCAACAGCCTCTCCACTCGCGTCCTGTGCTGACTTCGCGGCAGGTGCAAAGGATGGCACGGCCGCTTCGTGATTGGGCGCAACATCCGCCGGCACCCGCGAAACAGCTCGCACTTCCTGAAGTATTGGGGCTGGGTCGATCCCAAACCTTTCACAGATAGCCTGGATGCCATCATATGGGACGTAGAGTCCTTGTGCCGATAGATTGGCCCCTTTGCGGATAGTTTCGTCGCGAATGTTGGTATCTTTATGATCGAGGAAGGCGCGGAGTCTTCCATATGAAATGTTGTACGCAGCCATAAGTTGCGTTCCATGGATTAATCTGCGCTCTATATTGAGATGTACCACTTTCGTGTTGACATAGATCGTTGCATAGTCGGCCGGCAGAAGTGTGATGCGACGCCGTTTGCGGGGGGGCAGGTTGTGATTCTCATTGGCACGAAGGTTGTGATTCTCATTGGCACGAGGGTTGTGATTCTCATTGGCACGAGGGTTGTGATTCTCATTGGCACGAGGGTTGTGATTCTCATTGGCACGAGGGTTGTGATTCTCATTGGCACGAGGGTTGTGCAGTACGGTCAGCGGAGCCGCCGCCTCGACCGAAGAGTGTCGGCCAGGCAAGATTGTCTCCTGACCGACTTCGGGTGCGGCATGGCGGTGAGGGTCAATGATCGGCTGCCCTGATGGGACAATCGTGTTCAGTGCTTCGGCGGGTGCTAGGCGCGATGCCATCCTCAGACACAAGCCGGCTTCTGCTCGCTGGTCCGGGTCCATAACAATCATGTGATCAAGCATAAAGTCTTCCAATTCGGTACGGTGCTGTAGATGGTTCCGAAAGCCGCTCAATATCAACATGCCCCACTGGTCGGCTTGCCATCTGTACTGTTCATGGAAAGATGGCAAAGCACAGGCATATTCGAACACGACGACGCCAAGAGACCAGATATCAGCCTTGGGGGTGTAACTTTGTGGAAATTGATTGCCAGTCAAGCGGTTGAACCGGATTGCAAATAGCTCGGGGGCATTATATTGACTGGTGCCACAAGGTGTTGCCAGATCAACGTCACCCTTGGAGAGCCCAAAGTCAGTGAGCTTGATATGGATATTGTTCTTGCCATATGCATGAACAAGGATATTTGCCCTCTTGATATCCCGATGGGCGATAGGCGGCTGAAGCTCATGAAGATACTGGAGTGCTGAAAGGGCTTGTAGGAGAATCATCCAACGCTGGACTGTGGTGATATGCTTGTAGTGGCCCAGAGTGCCGCCTGCAACGTACTCGAGAGATATCTCAGGATATGGGTCAGTCTTTGCTCCGAGGAATTTTACAATGTGAGCCTGGTGTATTGTTAGGAGAAGAGCGTTGTGCGATCTGGAGATTGTACAAACATGATTCTCTCTTGATGCGAGCTGTAAATTTTCGATCTCCCTACGCCAATAAACCCAGTTTATCGGGCGACCGGCACGCGGCTTCTTGACGACATGCAGCTCCCCCGTACTGACGTTCCAGAAACGGGTGACAGTGCCAAAGGACCCTTGACCAACTTTCTTCTCTACAAAGAGGCATCCGTTTTCGGGCGAATTGCGTGAAGGAACATTTGTAGGACGCCTGGTGTCTGAATTATTCACTTCGAGCCTTTTGACTGAAGCTGAAGTTAATGCTTGGCCCCTGCGCCAAGTGTCGATGCGGGACATATACTCGCGCGATTGCCAGTCGGTGTGGTAGGGGGGGAGAACGATGCGAAACTGGATGGGACCAAACAGGGTTACAACGATTTTCTTAAACTCTTGGACTGCGTTGCCGCTAATGATCCAACGAAAGTTCCGGCGGAGCTCTTTTGCAGCTTCATCGTACGTCACCATGGTACCAGCGATAGAACCAAGGTCTCTGACGATGAGGCGTCCGCTGTCATCAAACGTGATGCAGAAGTGGCAGTTGCTTAGGCCTTTGTGCGACTCGTCGTTGGGTAGCTGAACATCGCTGTTACTACTGCGACCAAAAGTGAAACCAAATGACAACGTCGGTGGCTTGCTGAATCTGAGTTCAACGAAGGAACCATGCTCATTGGGACCTTGGACCAGTGGTCCCGTAGGTTCCACAGACGCGGCGCGTGAATCACATGGTCTCGGTGTCGGCGGCGGGGCTTGTGTTGGCGGCGTGACATAGTGCTTGCTGCTCTCAATGGCGTTGACGCTTGCCGCGGAATATTTCTTATGGGCGTATATCCGAGCGATTATATCTGGGTCTGCTTCCATTGTGAGTAACGAGCTGTTGTGATCCTCGGGGACATGGGAAAGACACGTTTGTGACAAGATGTTTTGCGAAGGAGTCATGGATGAAATGAAACGAAAGAGGGGTTCGTACAACGCAAACATGCTTACCATAAGCCACTTGCTTCTTTAATTAGAATACTCACGGCGCGTAGATACCTGCTGTCATTGGGCACAGAGTACAGAGTGCATGGCAGCGACAGACCTGGACTTTTGCCGCAGTGATGTTCTAGGCTGCCTAAATCTTGTCATTTTCCTAATCGCGAATATATTCCATCTGTTTTTGTAAGGTACTTTTTCTTTAGCTCCTGTTATTTGCATAATCACTTTTCACTCTTCTAGAATAATTTATTTGATCGAGCTGTCTTTAAGTAGGTAGGTATGAGGTACGTGCCGACCAAGCACCAACAAAGCTACCTGCCTAGGTACCTAGGTACCTTTGCTTACTTACCCCGCACTCGGGGACATGCGGATACTGTGGACCAATAATAGCACACTAGGTAGGAAGCAGCATCGGTGCCTGAGGCTAAGCGACCAAGCGCCTTACTAACTGGGTACCCACGTACCTAAGTAGGTAGGTACGTACCTAGGTACCTAGGTAGGTAACTGGTTAACTACTAAACCTCTTATATAAGTACAAACAAAGAGGACATCCCTCAACACTGGATTCTTAGAATGCTACGGTGAGCAAAAGTCAAGGCCCTCTAAAGAAAAGAAGACATGGAGCTGTTATCCGCGAGTAACCTACAAAAACTCAGTGATGCAGAGTTATCTGAAGTCTTGAACAAGCGCCGCCAATCGGGCGGCCGTGATACTTGCATTGAAATAGATGGCCTGGACGATCTACCACCTGAACAACTCGAGCATCTCCGGGAGCGATTGAAGTGAGTACGCCCCAAAACCGTGACTACCGTCCACAGCTCGCTCAACACCTCAGTAGTAAAGCCTTTCAAAGACCCAATCCGCCTCTCGATATTGCGTACCTCAATGCACGCCTCCGCGAAGCCCTCGACGACCGCAACGCCCTCGACGACCGCAATGCCCCCGACGACCGCAACGCCCCCGACGACCGCAATGTCCTCTCACCCTCTGGCCATCTGTTAGACGGCGACAGACCTGACAGCTACACGACCACCGTGATGCCCTCCAGGGATGAATTCGTGGATCACGAGACCGAGGCCTATAACAACCTTGTCAAAGATGGGGGCCGACCGCTGTACCCAATCACCTCTGTTGAACAAGTACTACAGAACCCCGACGACTATGTCGATATGCTTCGACCCTTTTGGGACTATCCTTCCAATATATACTTCCACAGCCAAATATATCAGAAACAATGGCACCGATGGGAACATTTTCGCGAATGGCAGCGTGATAACAGAAAGCTCAAAGGTCCCAACGATGATTTTGAACAATACAGAGAGAAGATGAGAGCGGAATCGGCATATGAAGCGGCCATGATCGATTCCGATCCAGACTACCTTACTTCCGTGTGGCGGTCGCTCCAAAAAGAGCGTACGTGGCAGCGCCAATGGTGTCGAGAGCGCGGTTGCAAAACTTTGGAAGAGTATGAAGCCGCGGCGAAGAAACGATTGGAACGCCACGGTTTCGATCAGCCATTCAAGTTGTCCAAGTACCCTGCCCGCCAAAGCGCGTTAACAACGTGGATTGAGTATTTGTGCTTTGAGTGCTGGTGGCAGGACGCGTACGCAGAGTGGACTCAAAGGCGGGCGACCGAGCACGAGGCGGCGTGGTGCAAGTTGCGCGACGCCGGGGTATTGGAGCCCGACGAAAACGCAGACGTCATCCAGACCTGGGACGCCGCCGTGCGTCACGACAAAGAGTTGATGGATGCGCAGGCCGCTCTGGTGGCTGCAAACACCGAGGTGGAAACGATTTTCAAGTCGGGTTCAGACGCAAACGGCCAACGTGCAGCGGGACGAGCCCACAGTCAGCTTGAGACGGCTGCTCTGCGACGACGCGATGCTGTGAAAACGAGATGCGACTTTGTCACGCACCGCATTACTCTGATTAAGGCGTTCCTCGGGGCTTTGGACGTCCACAAGCAGACCAAACGCAAGAAGGAAGGTCAGTATTTCCTGTTGGAGTGGGTCAAGGAGCAAGTGCCTCATGTTAAGGCTGAGGGCCAAGGCCGGAAGCGGAAACGACTTGTCGCGGAGGACGCATCGCCAGCAGACCGGGCGGCGAAGCGCGGAGGGGCCGCTTCCTACGCAGTCTTGCGGCGGAGTGCGAGAGCCGAGGCGCTGCAGAGTGCGAGGATCGAGGCGCAGAAAATTGCCGAAGCTGCTGCGCGTACCGAAGCTCGCAAGGCTCAGACACAGGCTCGCAAGGCTCAACTCCAAAAGAATCAAATCCAAAAGACTCAAACCCAGGCTCGGAAAACCCAGATCCTTGCTCGCAAAACCCAGACGCATAAGACCCAGACGCAGGCTCGCAAGACTCGAGCACCAGCTCCTAAAGCCCTGGCTCCCAAAACTCAAACCAAAAATGCTCAAACACGGACGGCAGCTCGCAAAACCCCAGCTCCCAAGACTCAGACCCAGGCTCCCAAAACTCAAACCAATAGTCGCAAGCACCGCCCCGGGTAAGACGGGACTTTCTGACTAGGCGCATCGCAAGATGCGCATCTGAGCACAAGATACAGGGAGCTGTCTCGTCTGGACCTGACATGGTCGGGATCTGGTGACTAGGGGCGTACAGGCGTTCAGCTCCCGAGAGCCCCCGTTGATCGGCCTTGGAATGGTAATATATATATATTGTCCAAAGGTGCCGCGAGATGTGGCGCCTGGCGGCCCTTGCCCATCTGCTGAGGATGGTAGGCGAGGTTGACCGGTACTGGACTACAGCAGTGATCTGAAGGTACCTCGGTGATCGATATACCTTTGACTAGGTATTTTGGCTCCTTGTGAAAGTGAAAACAGGACCACGGTCGTTGTATTAGTAACTAGACATTTTTTTTGGCAACTGTGGCAGTGTAGTGTGGGCAGTGTTGGTTACAGGCTTACAGCTCGGCCAACGTTTTAGCGCCGATCGCACGAGCTGGCTGGGCAGGTGCATTCCCATCCAATGGCTTTCTGCGCAATTCGCATGGCCGCTTTCTTCCATGTTATGTACACAGCAATCTCCCGTATACCCCCCTCCCCTTCGGCAGGCTATCAATGCGGGTAATTTTTGACTAATGTGCTGGTCTGGAGGTGGTGTAATAATTTCCTCAATTTCTTTGATAGCTCTCATCCACTCATTCAAGGCATATCTCAGATTGACCATTCGAGTCCCAGCGATACGCTGTAGTTACCTGGTACTTAGTAGAAGACCGCAGGAAGATAGCTCAGCCTGAAACGGACCTGGCGGATCCACTAAACAAGCCGCCTGGGCAGCTACCTACCTCTCCCTGGCGGGAGATACGAGGTACCTTAGTATCTGTAGGTACCACCTAATAATGTGTGCCGCTCAGGCAGTCGTCATATTTTTTTTGGGGCGAAGAAAACCAGCTCCTAAACGCCTAGGAAAGCTAAAAAAGCTGGCTTGACCGTAGGTACTAAGGTAGGTAGGTAGGTACACACCAGTCCAAGCTATCTGTACTCCGCCTCAACTTCGTCACCACTCACCACCCTGGCCTCTTGTCCTCTTCCTCCTCCCCTTCCCTCCATTTTAGCATCCCATCCCACAATCTTCTCGCTGGTAATAGTAGCCTTGCCCGCACCTCCTACACATCAACGCCGCGTTTGCCCCTTGCATTAGCATCGCATTGAATCATCCATCCCCAACTCCATTTTTTCTTCTTCTCTTCTTGTCGACATTTAGCCGCTTGAGCTTGGGACCGAGGATAATAGCAACCAAGCTACACCGTCCGCCCAACCGCTCACCTCTTCCAGCCCTCGAACTCGGCCCTCGACTCCTCAAACAAAGGACCACCACACGCAAGACGCTCCAAAGATGCCTGCTCCCGGTCCCGATGCTCCTCTCCAGGAGCGCCTGCTCGCTCTCGCGCAAACTCTCCAATGTAAGCTCACATGGCCCCGGGCGTCTGCCTGCTCCTAGCCACCCGTTAACGCCCTCACCACAGTTGCTTGGTTCGCTGGGTATGTTTTAGCTTTCCTGATGTGACAACTCGTTATCGAAGCGACCTTTTTCGACGTCGAAAACAAGCTTCCATCCATGTGTTGCATCGCTCCCCGCACGATGCGTCGCGTTCGCCGTCCACACCGCTAACCGAGCTTCCAGCCACCTAACCCTCATCTTCACCACCCTCCGTTACAGCTTCTCTTGGGTGCGCATGAACTACTATGGCGGCATGGCCGTCTTTTGCTACCGGACCTCGTTTGTCGCCGCCGCCCTCACCTACGGCATCGTCGTATACAAAACCCAAAAGTCCCGCGCAAAGACTGGCACCCAGCTGCCTGGCGGTGTCATCGGCCTCCTCGGCGACGAGAACATCCAGTATCTTTGTACGTGCCCACGTAGCACAATGCTGTTCGTTTCGTATAATTGGCTGACACGCACCAGTGATGGCCCTCGTCTGGCTTATTGCCCCTCAGTACCCTCTCGCGCTGATCCCTTACTGCGTCTACTCTACCTTCAACGCTGCCACCTATATTCGTGCCAACCTGCTACCCGTCATCAGCCCTGCGCCTCCCGCCGCCGACGGTGCCTCGCCCCGTAAGACGTCCAGCCCGCTCGCTGACCGAATTGGCGCCTTTGTCAAGGAGTACTACGACTCGTCCATGTCCATTGTCTCAGGCCTCGAGATCCTGCTCTGGTTCCGCATTGTCCTCTCTGCCATCCTCTTCCAGCGCCGCTCCTGGATTTTGCTCGGCCTCTACACTGCCTTCCTCCGTGCTCGCTACTCCCAAAACAACCACGTCCAGACCTCATTTGGCCAGCTCGCTGTCCGCATCGACTCTCTCGTGTCTGCCCAGGGCACCCCTCCAGTGGCCCGTCAGATCTGGGACTCCGTCAAGAACTACACGCGTCAGTTCCGCGACGCCACCGAGCTGAGCCGCTACACTGGCGGTGCCGGCCCTGCTAAAAAGACCTCTTAAGCGACCCGACGACACAATGGCAACGATTGCGCTGGACTGGCTAGGCTAGCGTGTTGCTCATGCTGCACGATTTCGCGGTATAGATGCTAGGGACTGGTCACAATTTTGAAAAGGCCGCTAGCCAGGGTTTACAGTGTCGTAACTACGGCTACTATGGCAGCGGCTCGTCTATGGGGAAAGCAAGATGGAAACAGTTTTAAGAACAACTCTACGTTGCGGGGTTTCAACGGCTCTCGGGGAAGACGCCGTTCTTTTCTGTTTTATGGTAACGGTACACCACATCGAGACTGTATTGTATGTCTTGATGAAGATGCGAATCAGGGAAAGCGGATCGGCGAAAGTGATCGCCGGTTGCCCCCCATCAGCGCTGATTGGGAGATGATGGCGGTGGATGTTGTTCGCGAGAAGGGTAAAGAAAAGTGAACGCGGTGGATACTTTTGTATTCGTACATGCCTTGCCTTATGAATTTGATTTTCTTTATACAATTGGCCGCCCGCCACTAGATTTCAATAGATTAGTGATGTGGATGAATGCGACGATGCATCTAGTTAGGCGAAGCTATCCATATCTATGCTTTGACAGTGATGAGGGGTCGGTCTCACTGATCAGCCACAGATTGACTGGTTTGAGCCTCAACGTGGGGTACTGGTATAACCACTAGGACAATAGGTGGTGACTGCCCGCCCTCATCTCTTGAACACAGGCAGTCATGACGACTCCCACCCCATCGCTCCTCCTGCACAAATTCATCACTCCAACAAACACACACCCCGTCTCGGCAAACCTCAGTCAGCGACCGACACGAGCTAGTACATCCCTCCTCCCGCCGCATAATAACTCGCCAACCATGTCGGAGACGGAGCAGCGCACCACCACCACCACCACCTCCACCACCCTCCCGCTGCGCACCAACAGAGGTAAAATGGCCCAACAACGACAACGCCCAACCCCCCTTTGCACAGAGCCGGGCAGCTAATTTCGTCTTCTTCCTTCCTTCACCTCCCCCCGGGGAGACCAACAAGCACCAGAACCCAGCAGCACGCAGCAGGATCGCAAGGTGGTCGACGGGCCCTCGGTCGCCACCACCACGACGTGGACGCCCAACTTGGCGCGCCGGCAGAGCTGGAACGCGCAGGACCGCACGCACGAGCTGCAAATGGCCACGGTCCATGCCGCGCGCACCGGTCCCGGCTTCACCGAGCGTTCGTCGTGAATGCCAGAGCAAGATTTTTTTTTTTGTAGGACAAATATGATTGAGGGGCGGTTTCGACAGCACCTAAATTGACGACGGGATGGACACGACACGAAACAGTCACTTTGTTATTGAGTCAAATATTCTCAGGAGGAAAACGGGACTGGTTACGATGAGAAAGATGATAAGCTTCTAAAGAATGCTACTTTGTGTTACGATTTGTGGTAAAGCAAGCCTTTGGTCCTATACGCCAGTGTGTGTTTGTAGCCCATCGCACAATGCACCCACGGAAGAAGAGAAAAAGAAAAAAATGGTAAACAAAAAGAAAACGCCAGGACCCATGCCTGTAGTGGTGTATATCCATGCGTGCGCCATGTATAAAACAACAAGTCAAAAAAAAAAAGAAGTAAAAGACAGTTACAGTAAGCCACTCGTCGACAGATGCTCCGCGGCCACCCCAGCAGCATACGCGGTGACACCGGCCCCCACTGCGCCTATGGCTAGTCTTTTGCCCAGCGATCGCCTCCTGCGGCCGACAGGGGTTTGAGAATCGTACGGTGGCGCGCCAGGTACGCCTCCGCCGACTCTGCGAAAGACGAGGACGTCACCGCGACCCGACACGATCTCGTACCCGTGCGCCTGCAGGGGCTGAAAGTGCGGCAAGAACTTGGCCGGGTGCGACAGCCGCATGATGGCCTCGGCGGGCGTCTGCTGCTGCTGCTGCGACGATGGAGAGTCTGCAGCTGTGCTCGTCTCCGCGACACTGACCGTCTGCGTGTCCGGGTCAAAGGCTAGCACCACGTACTCGGCGGGGGCAGCGGGGCGGGTGTCAGGTCCTGCGCTTACTGTCGGCGATGGCGCGTCTTGTTCTGCGTCCTCGTTAGCTTGGGATTGCAAGTGCTTTGCGTGTGTCGGCCGAGTCGCTTTACCGCCAGTGTCGTGTGTGTAGCTTACATCCAGTCCTTGCGGGGGTTTGGCGTAGGGGAGGTCCTGCTGGGTGGACAGCGTGTTGAGCGCGTCCGGAACGGCCGACTGGCCTGTTGGGAAGCTCTCGTCCATGGAGCTGACACCCTCATCGCTTTCCTGCTCGAAGCGGTGCTCGACCTTGGCCGTCTCGAGCTTGGAGAAGCGCTGTGGCTGGTAGTCCTCGGCACCCCACGTGGCGGCGTACTCGGCCTTGCCGTCCTTGAGCTTCTCGGCACGACGCGCAGCTTCGAGCTCGACGTCGACAATGGGCTGTTCTGCGGAGAACGGGGCCTTTGGAGCGTCGGCCTCGAAGGAGGTCTGATAGCGCTTCTTGGCGTCCTCGAGGTTGACGAAGCGGCGCTTGGCAGCGGCCTTGATGGTCCCGTTGGGCGCACCGGGAGCTGAACCCAGTTGGTCCGCGCTAGACTGGTGAGCAGCAGTCTTGCGGCGGATCTCGAGATCATGCTCGTTGAACTCGGGGGAGAGGGGTCGAGCAACAATCTCGTCCAGAAGGGGCTCATCGTAGCGGTTGAGATCCTTGTAATTTTTGGTGGCCTCCTCAGGGTGAGTAGGGTATTTCCTATCCGCTGCGTCGAAAGTGCGGGGGTTGTAGCTGGAGAGATCCTTATAATTTTTGGTGGCCTCCTCAGGGTGAGTAGGGTATTTCCTGTCCGCTGCGTCGAAAGTGCGGGGGTTGTAGCTGGAGAGATCCGTGTAGTTCTTGGTGAGTTCCTCGGGGTGAACGTGTTCTTTCGTGGCAGGCTCCTCGTATCCCGCTCTGGGGTATGCGGAAAGATCATCATAACGTTTGGATGCTTCCTCTGGGTGGAGACGAGCTGATTGGGGGTCGGCGTTGTCATACTGAGCGTAGCGGTCCAGGTCCTCGTATTCTTTGGTCAACTCTTCCGCAGTAGGAGGCTGGAGGCCGTCAGGTTCGTTCCAGCGGACAGGTCCATACTTGTCGAGGTCCTTGTACTCTTCGTAGTTGCCAGGTTTGGCCTCGACCTTGGGTGGGAGAGGGGTACCGCGAGGGGTGGCGTCCATCTCACGGACCTGCTGCGCCTTGAGGAGAGCATCTTTGCACTTGAAGCCCTCGGAGTACCTGTCCAAATCTTCATAGTTCTTGGACTGTTCTTCCGCAGTCAGTGGGCGGAGGCCGTCGGGCTCGCTGTATGTGGCGGCGCCGTACTTGTTGAGATCTTTGTAGAGCTTGGTCTTCTCTTCGGGAGTCATGCCGGGGAGACCATTGGGTTCGTTCCACGTGACGGGACCGTACTTGTGCAGATCGTCGTAGTCCTTTGTCTGCTCCTCGGGGGTGCGACTGGGAAGACCGTCGGGCTCGTTCCACTTGGAGGACTTGTACTCGTCGAGGTCCTTGTACTGATCGGCGCTTTCAGCAGGGAGGCCGTCGGGTTCGTTCCACTCGACTGGGCGATACTTTTTCAGGTCGTTGTAATGCTTGGACTTTTCCTCGGCACTGAGCTCCCAGGGCGTATTAGGGTCATCGAAGCTGGACGACTTGTATGCCTTGAGGTCCTTGTACTTGGGGAACTGCGAGGTGACCTCAATTGTCTTCTCGGCATCAACAGTTTGCGTTGTGTCCTTCGGAGCAAATTTTTTAACGTAATCGCGGACGCTCTTCTGCGGCAGGCGGAGGTTCTCAATGGATTGTGAGGCATCTTGTTGAGGACGCAGTAGCTGGTCAACGGCATCGCGCTCGAGGTCCCCAGTCGTCTTCGTGCCACCGATGCGAGAGAGGTCATTCGACCAGGACCGGACATTGGCAGTATCGGCGTGGGTGGCGCTTGTGCTGGACATGGACTGGGCATAGGCCGGCGTCCGAGCTGGAGTTTTGGTCGCGGCGCGAGCACTCTTGCTATCCCAGGAGAGTCTGCGGCTGAGCGTTTCCATGTATCTATAGCGAACGGAGCGATGTCGACCGTGAACTTCGTGGTCGGTTTCGACCTGCCAGGGACCGTAGCGGTATTGGCGAGTCTGGCGGGCGGCGGCTGTGGTGGAAGCGCGGGCCAGAGCCAGCCTGGCGCGCGGGGTGGACTGAGCAGCAGCTGAAATCATGACTACGGTATGGGTTTGGGGGAAGAAATTGCGTGCGCCACTGCTATATGAGCTAGAGAGAGGTTTTAGCATAATAAACGGGAGCAAAGGCGACTCGGGAGCAACAGGGCTGCTGTACGTGGGCCTGGGAAATACTGACACTGAAGGGTTAGGCGGGAGAACGTGTGAGACGGCGGATTTATGGCATCAAGCGACACGACAGTGTAGGGGAGAGAAGCCGTGCAAATTGGAGTAGAAAGTTGGGCGACGCGGGAAAGAGGGGTATCGCGAGTTCGCAAAAAAAAAGAAGAGATGAGTAGAGGAAGAGGTTGAAGGTAAATGACAGATGAGGGGAAAGGTTAAGACGACGAACGGAGGTACGGGCAGATGCTTGGAGGAAATGGTGCATGGAGGGGTACATGGATGGTACAGCCACCGGACGAGGATGCCTGCAGTGGGCTGGGGCAGGAGAAGAGATAACAGGTACCTACAGGCGATGGTTCCAGATAACCCACCAAGAAAAGCCTAGCAGAGGCAGAAGACAGCGCTACAACTGGCCGGCTTCAGCGGGCACTCCACTGTGCATCGCAAGTGGTTTGGGGGTCGCGTCTTGGCAGTTTTGGCGGCAACTCTAGGCGCTGATTCCCCAGGCAATTCGGGCAATTGGCAGGTTAGCCACTGAAAGGCGCTCCAACGCTACAACAGAAGCGCCGAAGGTGCTGTGCATCCCCTGCTCGGCTTTCGGATACGCAGCCCGAGACTTCAGGCTACCTACTAACCTGGGTATCACCTGGAATCGAGACATTCATGTCCCGGGAACCGTGTATTCGTAGTGAGCGGTTTTCTGTCGTGTACTGCGCCTTGCTGCAAGGTTCATGAACTAGCAAGCAGCCAGGTCGTGGAATGAGACTGGATGTGCTCCATCGTGGAGCCCGTCGTGTTGGTGATCAATGAGGTGTGAGTGGGCGACGATGCCTGCAATCACTTGTCGCACTGAAGCAGTTGCCCGCTCAGTTCCATGTCGGGTTCAGCAGTGGCTCAGTGCGCACTGCGGAACAACCACTAATCAAATTCAGCAAACCACTAAATTGCAGCGGTGCCTCGCCAAAATGGATACACGTTACAGCGATCCATCACCTGTGAGGCTGTGACGTATCGACTCCACCGCCAAACTTGCCCCTTCGACCCACTCTTCTCCCTATCACCGCGTTGGCATTGGTTCAGATAAGCCCCGTTTGGTGGGTCTGCACCCTGCACATCACAGGTCATGTACCTCAGAAGTACCTCTCTGTGAAGCGGCAAAAAACTCACGATAGGAAGCTCAACAACAGCACGTGATCGGGCAGGCAGAATCAGGCCCCATAGAGACAGAAGCGGGCATGACGAAATCGTCCAGATGATACGAGGAAGGGCAAAAAAAGGACGAGAATTAGAACAGGTAAATCTGAGATGCAGAACTTGCCAGTGGTGCCTATTGGCTCTACTCACGCGTCAGTGGCTGGCCGGATTTGGGCGGCTCGGCCACAGACATGAACATTTTGCGCGGCGTCGATTGTGTCGAATTGCCTGGTTCATCCGGGTAGTGAACCGGAGATCTGGCTTTGCAATCAATCGAATCATTCGAATCTCATACCCTCTTTTCCGCTCCCCAATCATTCCTCCCCATTGCCTGCTCGCAGTGACGTTTTTAGTCGTCTCCACTGCGACTGAGAAGTCCCCCATGACGTCAGTGAGCCCAAGGGCCAGTCGCAGTTTCGCGTGTCCTGATGGATGGCGTTTTGCTTGCTTGGGCTTCTGTAATCTGCACGGTGGTGATACACTGTACCCAGGGTTCCACATGGCCTGAGCTTCGGGGCGGGCATCGGTTGACGTCGCTGGGCTGTGAGCGCAGAGCCTTGTACCAAGTTGAGCAAAGATTGTTTGATGCATATCGCGGCTGCTTGCATAAAGCGGATAGGGAGTCTCACCTTGTGCAGCCTCGCTTGAGCCCATCCGGCTCCTACATTGGGTATCCCGGCCACGAAACAAAGAGATGCTATCATGCCGGCCGAGAACCTCTGCTCCCCTGGCCAGCTTGCACATTGGCCACACAACCGCCGTGGTAGCGGCAACACCGCTAGCCTCTCATCGTGACTCCAGTTCCTGTTGCAGCTGAGAATAGTACCACAACTTACGGGCCCAGCCAGGCCTGCACTAACTCCATCCTCAAGGTTTCCAAAAGGCGAAAATAGCCAAAAAAAAAAAAAAAAAAAAAAAAAAAAAAACGAACAGTTCTAGGGCAAGGTAGATAGTTATCCGCTCTTTGCTATTTCGGACTTCGGGCTCTTCGCAGGCTCCTTGACACCTTTGCCCACTCATCACCGCATCTCTCCCCCAAGACGCCACCAGCCGTATCTTACTGAGGGGAAACTGGCATGCCTCGGCCAACGGCACCCAGACGCCGCTGAGCTTCTATCTCATGCTTCTCGTCGCAACCGTTTTGGCCTGGCTGCGCCTTACGAACTACCATCCCTCGGCACCCCCAGTCTTTCCCCGCCAATTTTTCTTTTTGGACGGAACCCCGGACTCCCGAGGTGACTTGGGCCGCTGTCACAAGTCGGTTAGAGTTTGAGTACAGTGCGGCATCGAGGTCGCATGTCAAATAGGCACTATGTAACGCTTGGTGACGACATGATGTCAGAATAGAGATGCAGGAAGTCAATGAGGCAAAGGGAAAGAATTGAGAATGCAAAGTACCAAAATCCCAAGATCCTCATTCAAAGGGCTCCCCGAATTACTGCAGCCATCTTTTCGGCAGCCAATTTATTAGCATTGTAGCGCGAGATCCAGCCACGAGCCCATGGACACAATTTGCCGTACAGTAATCAGCCTCTTCCCCTTCACTGTGCCACTGACCCGCCCCCAGACAGACCGATCTGCAATGGACATGTCCGTGGGCCTAAATCCATAAGCCTCCAAAGCCTCGTTCGCCCAAACAAGACGCACCACGAGCGGGGTACCTCTATTAGGCCAAATACTGCGTTTTAACGACCCCAGGAACCACTGGAAAAAAAGATTCATCAAATACGCGGAACGTTAGCGTGGCAATTGGATCGTCCCCTCGTTGATCTGCCAAATCAACCACACGGAATCCTGCACCACCCCGAGACGAGATCATGGCTTAGGCTACATCCATGACCTGAGGCGTGCCTTGTCGGATATAACTCCTCCATCGTTTTTCTCGTCTCATCGAATTTTATCAGGAATTGATACGAAATATTGCTACAGAAATCTAGTCCAGTGGTGTGCGATGACATGCGTCGCAGGTGCTAAGACAAACAAACGACAACTGCCCCGAACCGCACTCTGCGCGCGCCACGCCAAACGGGACAACGTCAAATCTACAAGAAGCAGACTTGTTATTCCTCCTCGCCATGAGCGACGAGGTCAAGAGCATGGGCTCTGTATCGGCGGACACAGCGCATGACAGCTCCCGCGGCAGCGCCGGTGACGGCTCACCTGCTTCAGTCGACCATGCCAGCACCACCACCGACGGCATCGTCCTGCGCCGCAAGAAGCCCATTGCCGGCTGGCGATTGGCCGTGATATTTGCATGGTACGCGTCTCTCGGGCCCATCCATTTTCAGACCGCTGTAATACTGACCGTTCCTGGCTTGGCAGCATCGGCATGGGCCTCTTCCTCTCACTTCTCGATGCCACTGTTGTCGCCACCATGCTCGTCGACATTTCCGCAGAATTTCAAGATTTCAAGACGTCGTCCTGGGTCGTCCTAGCCTACACTCTCACTGAAGTCGGTGCGTGTCCCCCCTTGTCTTCAACAGCCCGCGCCTATACTGACAAATATGCAGGCTTCGCTGTCGCCATGGCCCGCCTCTCCGACGCCTTTGGCCGCAAGACCATTGTCTGCGTCTCTTTTGCCATCTTTCTCGCCGCGTCCATGGGATGCGCCGCCGCCGCCAACCTCGACCAGCTCATTGGCTTCCGCGCCGCTCAGGGTGTCGGCGGCGCTGGCCTCTACAGCATGGCCATGATCACCTTTCCCGAGCTGAGCCCGCCGTCGCGCGTCGTCCTCGTGACATCGGCCCTCGGCGCCATTGTCGCCCTCGCCGGCGTCTGCGGGCCCGTCATTGGCGGCTTGCTGACCACGTATGTCGGTTGGCGCTACGTCTTTTGGATAAAGTATTGTTCTCTCCCTCCCATCTCAGCTCTGGGGTTCACATGTACTGACTTGTGAAAAAAAAACAGCGGTCCCTGTGCTTTCGTCCCCGGTGTCTTGCTCTTGTTCCTCTGGCCCAAAGACTACCAGCTCTTTGTCAGGATTAACCCGCGCCGGCTCGACTATCTCGGCGCCATCCTGATCCTCGCCGCCACCGTCCTGCCCGTCTTCATTATCAACCAGGCCGCCATCCGCGACTACACCTGGCGCTCCGGCACCACCATCAGCGTGCTCATCATCGGCGGCCTTTGTTGGGTCGCCCTCGTCTTCTGGCAGCGCCAGCTCGCCCGCGATACGCGTCTCAGCCACATCCGACCACAACTGCCCTATCACATCCTGACCAGCCGCGTCATGCTCGCTGCCATATTGTAAGCCCCTTCTCATCCCAGCTGCTATCCCGAGAACTGAAACGCTCATAACATCGCCCCCAGTGACACGTTCTTGTCCGGCTTCGTCCTACTCCTCGCCATTATCAATATTCCCCTGCGCTCGCAAATCGTCAACCTCTACGGACCTGTCAAAGCCGGCGCCCTGCTGCTGCCCATGATGGGTGGCGGCGCGGCCGGCTGCGCCCTCGGCGGCGCCCTCTCCCTCCGCCGCAACAACACCTTTCCGGTACTCGTCGTAGCCAGTGCCATCCTGGCCATCTCCTCGGGCGTTCTCTCCCGCCTCCCGGAGGAAACCGCGCCGCCGGCGTGGCAGTGGGGTCTCGAGGCCGTCCTCGGCGTCGGCGTGGGTTTGAAGATTTCGAGCACCACGTTCCTCGCCGTCCTTCAGTCCGACTTTGAAGATCACGGTACGTTTGCCCCTATTTTCCCAACACTCCTTTGTCCTCCGGTAGCAGGTGCTAACTCGTGAATGACAGCCATCTCGCAGGGCATTATTGCGCAGATGCGTGTCTTTGGCGGCAGCCTCGGCGTCGCCGTCAGCATTGTTGTGCTCATTACCAAAATCCAAAACGGGCTGCAGGGCAGCCTCACGCCCGACCAGCTCGCCAGCTTTTACCGCTCGCCGCTAGCCCTCTTCCAGTTCTCCCCCCAGCAGCAACTTGTCGCGCGACGGGCCTTCATCGACGCCTTCCGCGTCGACATGTACATTTGCGTCGGCGTCTCCGTCGCCTCGCTGTTCGCCGCCCTCTTCACGTACCAGCGCCACCCGCCGTCGGTCCAGTCCAAGCTGGCGGACCTTGAAAAGGAGCTAGCGAGGAGTGCGGCGCTGACGGAAGCCTCTGAAACAGCAGAGGCATAAACGCATGGTTGAACACCAATACACTGTAAATGTAAGACAGTACGAACATGATTTATGATACACATGTACATAGAAAATAAAAGCAATACAAAGCACTAAAGCCTAATCGACACATGTCTGTTGGCTAAAGGCAAAAATAAATTCAATTCGCTAAATCCTTGATCCAATGGTGCAGTTTCTCCTTGTCCCCCAGTGCATTGCTATTTCCTGCGCTCGCTGTATCTGCCTCGCATCTCACTCATGCCGCCGGTTTCGGATTCGTATTTGATTGCGTGCCGTTTTGCTGTGCTGCATTTTCAAGCGTGTGTTGATCGTGCCTTGTCAGCCGGTCGGTGTCTTCATGTACCCCGTCGCTGCCATCCTGCGTGTGTGTATTCTGAGAATCTTGCTGTTGACTATGCCGTGAGCTCTCCGAGCTGGGCCGCTCCTTGTATGGTGGTACCACCGCCATACCGGCGACAATTGCCTTGTCCTGCTCCCGTGACTTGACATAGACGGGCAGCGGCTCGTCATCGGTGGGCGACCGCGATCGCTGGTACTCGCCGATGCGCTGCAGTCGCTGCTCCTGAAGCTGATGCTCCTCTTGTTCGAAAGTCTGGCGCTCTCTCCGCCGTGAGCGTATATAAAACCAGAGCGCTATCGCGGAAATGGCGGCGAACGCGGCAGCGACGCAGCCAACCACAATGCCAATGATTTGGCCCAGGCCTTTATCCAAAGCGTTGGGATTTATCGTTTTTCGTGTTAAGCTAGGGTCAATTTCCGTGCCTGGCTCCCAGGTCTTGACCGGATACTGTACGGATACGGTTGGCGGTGATGGCGATAGTTCAGAGGCATCTTTTTGTTCCCATTCGATGAACCAGGGTTGGTAGAACATGGTCACCACCGAGGGTCCTGGTGTGGATGTCGACGGAGTCGTGGCGTTTCTTGCTGCAAGAGCGATTGAGCCGGTGGTTGTCTCCGAGGCAGACCGGGTGGATGTCCTAGTGGCCGTGGTTTGCGCCGCCGGTGTCAAGGTCGTCGTCTTCAAGCAGTTGGCTCCAGATACGCCTGTTATATCGATATTGTAGAACATCGAGTATGAGAAGCCGCTGTGAAGAAACGTATTAGCACAGAGAGTTGGGATGAAGTGGATAGTCATCACCTACCTCGGACAGCAGTACGCCGTGGTGCGAATGGTCTCTGTATTGGGCTGATTATTGAACAAGTCGGACAGCTGATTGTAGTTGTAGCCACTGGGGCAAACGGCTTTACTGAAGCTGAATAGGTAGCTGCTGTTGATATGATTCCACCCAGACGGCTGGCAGGCAGAGAACTGGGCATTGGTGACGGGCAGCAAGATCTGCGAATAGGTTGTGTTTCCCTGGCTGTCTCCGAGAGTGACGGCGACTGTGGCCGGCGTCCAATTCTGTACTGGGGTGCATTGCGATGGCGGCACAAACTGCGTCGTGAGCTGGGGGAGGACGAGGACCGTTGCATTGGTCGAGGTGGCGTTGGCGCCGACGATGAAATTGGTGCCGTTTAATTGAACGGGCCCGCTCGACGATGCGACCGCCGTTGTCGTTGTCGTGAGCGAAGCGAGCGTGGTTGTGATTGAGGCTGACATTGCCGCGGCCCGGTCGCTCAGTCGCAAAGAGGGCGCGCGAAAACCATGGATGATGGCTAGAGCGATGGCGAGGATGCTGAAAATATAGAGAGAGAGAAAAAAGTCTGGGCGCAGATCGAAACGGCAGAAGAGGCACTCGTATCTGGATATTCTGACAAGAGCCGGCACACCAGTGATAACTAACTATAACGGGGCCTCCACAACTCTGGAACAAGGGCGGACTTTAGCGCAGCAGCGAGCAGAGGGTGTTGATTGGGGCTATCCCGGGCCGGGGCGGTTCGAGCGAGACAAGGGGTGAAGGCGAGCTAGTTACTGGTTCTCACTAGATAACTAGACTCTTGTCATGAGAACATAGTTGCGAGGGGTTGGTCTTTATGCGTCGCAGCGATTGAGTCATATGTGCAGCCTGCAGTCCTGCAGTTTGCTCTGCATGGAGATTCGGTGGAAGGATTAGGTGGACAGCCAGCCTCGCAAGTGCCCGCCGCCTAATTCGTACTCCGTACATAAATCATACACAACTATATGTTTGTGGGTGTGTCTAAATTTGGCAGCAGCACAGCCTCGACATCGTCGTCCACAGCAGCTTCTGGAGAGCGAACAAATGGATATAGTGGTACGAGGTGCCGCGTGTTGCGCGTGGATCGATCCATCCCTTGAGAATATCGCGGGTCCGCATACGCGACGGAAGAAGCCGGTGCATGGTCGACATGTGCAATATCTCCGAATTACCCAGTAGCTCTCGTCCGCCAGTTGTGCCTCTTTGCATTCCTACCAAGTCCGTCGGCGTATTTGTGGTTGCGATCGCTCGAGGGGCCGATGGCGACGCGACAGGCATTGGGCTGCAGCTACTCAATCGGGGCCGGTTTTCAAACGCCATGACGAATTACAATTACGAATAAGATTTGGGCTCGCGTGCTTGTTGCTGTTTCTGGGTGGTGGGATGAATGACGGTGATGCTGCGTTGGTTGGTTGGTAACAGCTTGGTGATATACAGATGAGTGCGGGGGCCAGCATTGCAGATTGGGCTGCGCTTTCCCTTTGGGCAAACCCATCTAATGACTTAAAAACGGGGGTTCTATGCTACCTTTACCATCTTCACACTGAATAAATAATTGCCTTGATGGATGGATGGCTAAAAGTACCTTTGTACATTTTTCAACGGTATGACTCCATCGGGAAGCCAGGCCCACTCTTAACAATTCTAGTTCTTCTACTGCGACGACGTCACTGAGCTGCATCTCAAAATCTCTACAAAGGACAAAGGACACTTCCAGCTTCCAATCAGCCGCCCGCGTCGACCCTGCGTCGCTTTCGCCCGCCCCCTTCCTCGCGACCTCTCACTGGATCTCACCCGCGCGCGGCCAGTCAAGATCATGAAGCGCGGCCAAGGACGATCTGCTGGCGGCAGCCGTCCAGCCTTTGGCGGCGCTGGCTTCGCTGCCTTTGGCGGCCAGGGTTCTGGCAGCTCCCTCTCGTATCTCGCCGAGCCGCCCTCGTTTGCCGCTGTGGCAGATCCAAACCTTGTCGTCTCGCTCAAGAATGTCATGAAAAAGGACAGCACGACCAAGACCAAGGCGCTCGATGAGCTGCTGGCCCATGTCCAGGCGAACCCCCACGACAAGGATGGCGGGGTAGAGGATGCCCTTCTTGACATATGGGTACGACGCCCTCTTCATCCTTGAAACACCAATCGTCGCGTACATCTCGCGATACAAGCTACTGACCCTGCAATAGACGCAATTGTACCCGCGTGCCTCCATCGACAATGCCCGCCGCGTTCGGGAGCAGTCTCACCACTTACAGCTCGAGCTGATGAAGTCGGCGCGCAAGCGCATGGAGCGCCACATTCCCAAGGTTGTCGGCGCATGGCTTGCTGGTCTCTATGATCGCGACCGCGCCGTTTCTCGCGCCGCCAGCGATGGTCTCGGCTCCTTTCTCACGACTCCCGAAAAGGGAGACGCCTTTTGGAAAAAGTGCCACTTTCAGATCCTGGCATTTGCTCTCGAGGCCATTCAGGAGACGCAGGATAGCTTGAGCGATGAACGCTCCACCACCAAGGAAGATGCCGAGGCAAAATACTTCCGCGTCATCAACGCGAGTCTGTCACTTATTCTGCGGCTTCTCCAACGGATGGACGACGCCGACATCGACCGCTATCGGGACAGCTACGACGAATACTTTGCTACCGACGCTGTCTGGAAGAGCATCACTGCCGCCGATGCGTCGGTGCGCAGAAGCACTTGCCAGATTCTCGTTTTGTGCCTTGATCGCAAACTGCCTTACGCAGACTCGGTGGAGTGCAGACAGGCTATTCTCACCGGCGGCCTCAAGACTTCACAGGTTGGGTCTGCGAATGAGTACATCCTCGCCCTGGTGAGACTCAGCAAAGAGCACCCGGATATTTGGGAGGCTCCTGCTAAGAGCAAAAAGTCCCCTGTTTCACGACTATATACATTCATTGCCAAGGGCTCACAGGGTAGCCGGGCAAGCTTCTGGGAATCTCTTGACGCTCTGCTCTCCCTCCTACCGCGCAGCGACGTCACCCTAGAATCGGAATCTGAGCTGCTCACTTCTCTACGCTCCGGCATCGAACACCGAGAAGAACCCCGTGCCAGCGCACAGCTCGGTTGGAAGTGCTACTCTAATACGATCCAGCGAGCGCTCAAGTCCTTGAATGAAGACGATGCCCGCGAATTAGCCAAAACTCACGCATTCAACTTGTTCGAACACTTCCTCTTTCCTCCCTCTACTCGAGCCTCATCCATTGACCTATCTACCCTTGGCAACATCTACTGCGCTGTAGCTGGCTCGTCTCCTGCGCTTGCCTCTGCTATGGAAGACGAACTCGCCCGACTCGCTGCTGCATTCTGCACACACCTGACCGGCTCTCTTCCCGGGGTTTCGAAAGAGTACCAAAGTTCTCAGGAAAAGGTCGGGCAGGAGGGCCGCCGCTGGTTTTTGCTCATCAAGGAACTGTACCATCGCTCTGAGACAGACAGCCTGCCCGGGCTGGCAGAGCAGCCTTCTCTGACCATAATTTCTCAGTGCATATCTCTGCTCGAAAGTCGAAATATGAAGCCATTTGGAGCTGCGACAGCCTTGAAGGAAGCTCTCTCCTCTGCACCCCATCTGTTTTCTGCGGATGCCGGCGTCGGTCTCTCCAACTTTCTGCTCGCTGCTGCAGAAGACTACATGGACAAACTGGTCGAGTCATCCTCGGCGCCAATTCTCTTGACATGCTTGGACCTGTCGTCTTCCGTTGAAAAGCTCAATACGCAGTATAGATCCACCTGGCACGCCTGGGTAACGGAAACGATGTTGCTACCACCAAGCGAGAAGCGTAGCGAGGTTTTGGAGGGCTTGATCTCACAAAGAGCAGCTTCAGAATTTGCGCAGTCGCACCAGGCTGTGCAGGCTCATATTCTAGAGCAAGCAACGGCAGTCGCCGATGGTGCCGGTGGCAGCAAGAATCTGTTGTCGGCGGCCGTCAACTCCGGCGCCCTTTCTCGCGACAATTTACTGATCCTTGTCAGACATGCTGTGGACGTGTTGCAGAAGAAACCGAGCGAAGAGCCTCTAGATATCTTGGTCATTGTGGCCGGTGGAATTCCAAAGCTGCTGTCTGAAGATGACAATCTGCACACCTCGATAGTTGCTGTCTTGCTTGGTATGTCTGAGCTTGATGGTGATGCCTTTATTTCTAGCAAGGCGGCCAAGGTCCGCGCTCTCATGGATCAACATACCGATGGCAACCTGCCTACAGTGGGCATTATACTGTCTAATCTCGAACGTGCAAACCGCCAATCTCTCGAGTAAGTGACTTCCCAATGCCACGAAACAGACTCCTAACTGCCACAGCATCGAAACCCTTGTCAAGCAGGCCAAGGAGGCTAGCTCTACAGTCGAGTCTCTAGAAGACTTGCTTCCCAGCACCAACGTCTGGATGGAGCAGCTCAAGCCATTCCTCCAGGCGCACATCGACCCCGTTCTCTCCATCAGCAGTCCGATCAGCGGCGCTACCCTCTTGTCCAACTCATCTTCCAGTCTTTCCAAAGACACGTTCCGGGTGCCTCGTGACCGACGAGGGCGCTCTATTCCTGCCAGGATGGCTCTTTATTTGTCGCTGCTGACTGCCGAGGGTATTGATCTGTCTAAAATCTCATCGCAGTTTTCTGTCGAGCTTTTGTATCTCCAGTGCATTACTGTGCAGCTCATCTCTGACCAGATTACGCTCCGCGGCACCAATGGTCTCTTCTTCAATCTCGAAGGTGAAGAAGGCATGCGCGAGGCAGACACCATCATTACCTCTCTCCGGTCATTTTTCAACAACTATACATCAGAAAAGGAATGGTGGGTGGCGGGCAGGGGTGACTCGGAAACAGAAATGGTTCGCCAACTGGCCAGTCTTCTCCTCGCGCAGTCAAGGTCTCTCTCGGCTTCGGCCATTTACAGTGCCCGGGCTCTGAGCGAGCTTCTTCAGGCGACTGCCGAGGCGCAAGGGTTGTCCGTCTCTCTAGAAGAACACTTTGTCAAGCCCGAACATCTCAAAACCACACCCGACACTGTCCTCGTCAGCGCCGCCATCCTGTCCGGACTTGGCGAGCCACTGCAGGCGTCGAAGCAAATCAGCAACTTTTGCAACCGCCTTGTTAGCGACGTGGCTGGGGCGGCTGCTGATGGCGAAAAAACTAAGTCGATCTTGTCCCTTCTCACGCTCTGCTCCCGGCTGTACGAACCTGGCGGGTTGCCTGTTGCGAACAACCGCATCGTGTTTGCAGTGCGCCAGATCACTAGCTGGTTCGAGGAGCCGGCGCTCATGGACGCAGAAACGTCCACCGAGGCCTGCCGCTCCCTCATCAGCCTGCTTCCTTGCATGAAGGACGTGTACGGCTCGTACTGGGAGAGGACGGCCACGTTTTGCCTGGCCACGTGGCGCAACGAATTCGAATATAACCTTGGCAGTCTTTTGCCGCTAGTGCACGCCTCACTGAAACTGGGACGGGTTCTCGAGACCATCTCGGAGCCGAATGATGACCTGGAAGACGCGCTCAGAGACTTCGCCAGCGACAAGCCATCAGCTTTGGTGGAGCTTCTCAAGCTCCTCCGTGACGTGGAAGCCCCTGCAGCCAAGATTGTGACTGCTGTTTTATCAAGAGAGGTGGACAAGATTTCAGTACACCAGACTCCGGAACTGGATGACCTATATCCCTTGGTGGCTTCAGAATCACGAGATATTCAAACAGCTGCTTTTGGCTTGCTGCACCGAGCTATCCCAGTGCAGCAAGAACAGGTGTCTGTCGACATACTGTTGGATCAGACCGACGCCCGACTACCCGACGAGCTACTATCACTGCTACTGGACGCCCCAACTCTGGAGAGCTACTCGGACGACGGCCTCGCTCGATTTCCGCAGGCGGTTCGCTGCTACTTGCTATCCTGGAAGCTCGTGTTTGACGCGTTCTCGGGTGCCTCGTTTCAAGTACGAAACGACTTTACGGAGAATTTAAAGACGGACAACTATGTCAGCCCGCTGCTAGACTTTACATTTGACGTACTCGGGCACTCGGCCGCGCACGCCATCAACCTGGACAAGGAGGGCTTCTCGTCCGATCACATTTACAACTACGACGTCAAGCTAGCCGACACGGACACGGACACGGAAGAAAAGAGCATGCAGTGGCTTTTGGTGCACCTGTACTACCTGGTTCTCAAGTATACCCCCGGCCTGTTTCGGACGTGGTACATGGACTGCCGCTCCAAGCAGACGCGCATCGCCGTCGAGGCCTGGACGACGCGGTACTACTCGCCGCTCATCATCGGCGACAACCTAGACGTGGTGCAGCAGTGGGCGGACTCCCAGGAAGCGCCGACGGCCGACGAGCAGGAGTTGCAGGTGCGCGTGTCCAAGTCGGCGCGCGAGGTGACGGCAGGATACGACGTGGACGAGGCGCAGGCGTCCATTGTCATCCGGGTACCGGCGAGCTACCCCATCGAGGGCGTCACGGTGGCGAGTCTGAATCGTGTGGCTGTGACGGAACGCAAGTGGCAGGCCTGGATCATGACAACGCAGGGCGTCATCACATTTTCCAACGGAAACATCATCGACGGCCTCCAGGTCTTCAAGCGCAACATTGTAGGCGCGCTCCGCGGTCATTCCGAGTGCGCCATCTGCTACAGCATTGTCTCGGCGGACAAGCGCATTCCGGACAAGCGCTGCACCACGTGCAAGAATCTCTTCCATAGGACCTGTCTGTACAAGTGGTTCCAGAGCAGCAACCAAAACACGTGTCCGCTGTGCAGGAACCCAATCGACTATTTGGGCGCGGACACGCAAAAGAGGAGACAGTAAGAGGGTCTGGGGTAATCTAGCGATAGAGAAAAGCACTTGAACAAAATTCGTAGCGGTTCAATTATAGAATGCATTTGTATTGTAGTAGCTGCTGGTTTATTAGAAGACTGATTGTGAGGAGCGAATATTGGAGATTTTGTACGCACCTCTTGAGCCGTGGCGCGTTTGCTGTAGCGAACCGCACCCGCAATCATTTCAAGCCAATCCGGGTCGAGACCTGGCAGTATCTCCTGCCACGACCTATGCGGAAAGACGGTCCACATCTCAAATGGCGACACCTTGAAGCCCCTCGCCTCGGGCCAAGTCTCCGGCGTCGGCGTGCCCATGGTCTTGAAGATGCTCAGGATGAGGCCGAGCTGGCTGCCGTCCTCGTGCGCCGCACGGGACTCAAACGGCGGCCGGGGCGGCGCGGTGAGGCACTCGGCAAGCATGACGCCGAGCGCCCACACATCGACCTCGGCGCCGTACGCCTTGTTCACAAAGAGCACCTCGGGCGCGCGGTACGGCCCCGTGCCAATGTCGAGGATCTTGGCAGCCGCCGGCTCCGTGCCGGCGGACAGTGCCGGGTGCCACGCGGTGCCAAAGTCGGCGAGGTACGCGGGGCCTGCGGGCCCGTCGAGGAGAATGGCCGAGGGCTTGACGTCGCGGTGGAGGATGCCCTGCTCGTGGATGTGCGCCAGCGCGCGCAGCACGTCCCGGAAGATGCTCTGGGCGTGCGGCCGGTCCAGGGCGCGGCCGCTGGCGAGGAGGAGCGCCTCGAGGGTGAGCGGCTTGTAGGGAAAGGCGAGGACCTGCTGCTGCGCCTGGTCGCGGAAGGCGGCGAGCAGCGGGATGCACGGCGGGCGGAGCAGCCGCAGGATGCGAATCTCGCGCTGGGGGTCGTGCGGCGGCAGCGGGTGCTGCACAGTGATGACCTTGAGCGCCGTCGCGCCGTCTGCGGAGCGGTAGACGGTCGAGGTGACGCCGTCGGCAATGGCAGTGCAGTTGCTGTAGGCGCCGATGCGCGTGTCCCCCCCGGACACGTCCGCGGCTGCGGCGGCGACGGAGAACGGGGCGGCCGGTTGGGTAGCCATGGCCGCGTTGCACGCGGTCGTGTAGTCTTGCTGTGACACCGCCATGATGAGTTTATATTCGGGCTATGCGGAACAGAGATGGTTGTGCTGGCTTACCAGGGATGCTGCATCTGTGTACGCGGCCTGCTCAATGGCGATGGCGGTGCTCATTGAGCCGTCGGGCAGTGCTTCCTGGCTGGGAGTCGTTGGTTGGGGGGTCTGTGCGAAGTACGGATGGACGGGGACGGCTTACATGGATCGTATAGTGCCATAACGGTCTGTGGCAGAGATGGCGAAATGCCAGGCGTGCTGGGCGGCGACCATGGTTGTGTGCTGAAGGTATCGTGATGGTGGTGGTGATGGTAGCGGTGGGAGCTGAGGTGGACAGTGGGGGTAGGGGGGCTAGAGGGGTCTGTAGGAGCGCTGTAACGTATGCAGGTAGTTATGCATGATGAAGTTTGAAATGGTACAGCGATGCATTGTATTTGATTAGATTTTATGCGTATTCTCATTTCAATGCGTCTTTCTTTTTTTTGGCTCTAAGCTGGGGAGCAGGCATGTTCTTAATAAGGGCGCTAAAAGGCCCGATGGGGAGCGCTGTAGAATGCTGACTCGATTCTAATTAGCGGTGCTAGCGTTGACTTGAGAGAAATTGTTCAGGGCAAGACAAGTGCTGAAGTCGGCGGAGACCCGCTGTGGTCCGCTGTGGTCCGCTGTAAGGCAGCCTATTGAGAAAAAAAAAAGAATACGTCTCCACAATTACTAGCCTCATCCCAAACAGCTCTCCCTCCGGCCTCCCCAGACTTCGTCATGACCAAGACAGACGCAACTTAGCGACCCATACCTATAAACCCCGTCCTGTGTTTCTCGTGGGCATCGCCACCCTTTCCACCGCGCCTCTCCTTTTCCTGCCTCTCTCATCGCCCCGTCTCTTGCTATCTTATCTAGAGCCACCGAGTATCCCGAATTCCCGCCGCGGCCGAGCGCTGCAGCCAACCCAAAAGCAATCCCCCGCAATGGATGACCTCGCCAGGGCCGAGTACCCGGCCATGTTGGTGCGTCGTTCTTTTTTTCGACCTTTGTCGGGGCGTCTGTGCCATTGCTAGCAATGATAGCTCGTGGCACGTCAGCCAGATGTCGAGAGCTTGGGTCGCTAACTGTCCTTGCTGTAGCCGCATCTTCAGCCGAACCAGGCTGCGCAGGTCCTCAACGACCGGGTCAAGCGCATCGGCAAGATCAACAACGAAATCGCCGACTGGCTCCAGGTACGACAACATCAATGGCAGTCCGCCGGTGACTTTTCACCTCTCTCTTGTAGAGGGCGGGTTGACTTCGTTCTTGTCGCAATACTGACTGGTGCCATTGTGTAGGAACGCCGTCGCGTCGAGGAACAATATGTCGCAGGCCTGCGCAAGCTCGCTCAGTTTAAAGTCCCGCAGTCAGAGCTCGGGTATGGCGCTACTACCACCGACCATATCCCTTCATTCTCCTTGCAAGCTAACGGTACCTGCGCAGCGTTTTCCAGACGCCCTGGGCCCGCATCCTCGGCGCCGTCGAGCGCATCGCCCAGTCCCATCACCACTTCGCCGACGGCATCGAGCGAGACGTCGAGCTACCCCTCCGAGGCTTCCCGCAGCGCAACGACGTCATGAACATCAGCACAATATCGGCCAATTTGACCTACCTCGGCAAGGACCTCGAGGACGCCCGCGACAAGGCCGACAAGCTAAGCAAGAAGGCGGCCAAGACGAGCGCCCAAAAGCTTGACACCGCGTCCGCGCGGCTCGAGTCGGCGCAGCAGGAGTGGGATTCGCAGGCGCCCTTTGTCTTTGAGACGCTCCAGGCCCTCGACGAGTCCCGCGTCAACCAGTTGCGAGACGTCCTTACGCAGTACCAGACGCACGAATCTGACCAGGCGCACCGGACACAAGCCATTGCCGGCGAAACGCTCGCCATCACCATCGAGATTGAAACAGAGTCTGAGATTCGGGGCTTTGTGCAGGGCACCATTGGCGACCGGCCGCTGGCTCCTACCCGAAGCTCGACACGGCGCTCGTCCGTTGGCGTGCCAGCAAATCATGCTTCCCAGGCTCCTGCCACGCCGGCATCTGTCAGCCGCGAAAATACCATGCACAATAACAACATCACCCCTACGCCATCAGTCCCACAGTCTGTGCCCGAGGAGGATAACTTTGATCAATCACCGGCACCCCAAAAAGGTACGTGACATTGCTCGCCCATTATCATCCATGCTATGTGCAAGGAAGCCCCACTGCTAACGTCACCTAGAATCCAAGCTTCGACGACTCGGCACGATCCTCGGTGGACGACGTCGCCAGAGTGTACACGGTGGTTTCGGACAGTTTGGGGCGCAAAAGGCCCCTAATTTCGGACGTCTTGGGAGTAGCGGCCGTGGCATCTCGCCCCGGGCCTCGGCGAGCAACCTCAACGAATCTTCCCGACTGTCCTCCCTCGCCGAAGACGGGCCTGTATCCCCCATCCGTCCCAAGACGGGCGGCGACAGGCCCAACGGCCTCGCACACATGGATGCCGACGCCGTCCCGCCGCTGCCCATCTCGACCGGCACCAACGGATCGCTTGCCGGCCACGCCGAGCCCTCTGCCGAGGGGGCCAAGGATGCCGAGGGCTTCACCGTTCGCGCGCCCATGCATGACCCGATTAGCGAGGCGCAACGCGAAGCTGCCAGCGATGATTCCGAGCAGCCGTTCAAACTGAGCATCCAGAACCAGCCCATCTCTGAGGAGGACCCCGCGGAGAAGCAGGCAGCCTTGTCCAGCGTGGCCAACACGCTCAAGCTCAGTTCGACCACTGCGCAGCGCTCGCGCACCGTTCGCGGCCGCCGCGACGTCCGCAACACAATTTACAACCCAGTGACGGGCGGCCTGCCTGGCGCGCTCTCCGACAGCTCCATTGCCTCCCTCCCCTCCATTGCTAAGCCCGTCGCGGCCGCGCCGGCACTGACATCGGAGTCCAGCACTGCCGGCGTCTCCGACTCCCAGTCCGTCCGCTCCGGCACTTCACTCGGCAATTTTGCGCACGTCCAGCACCCGGACATGCACGGCCCCGGCCTTCACTCGTCCATTATCGAGACTGTGTCCGCCCAGTTTGAAGACGGCGAGATTAAGAGCGTGTCCATTGCCGGCGAGATTGCCTTTGCTTACCACAGCAGCGACGCCCATGACAAGAGTAAGCCCGCCCTGACCACTCCAATCGCCAACTCCCAGACTAACCTCCTTCGCCAGCCCACGAAACGATTCGCATCAACAATTTTGCCCGTCTAGAAAAGATTGGCCCGAATCGCATATTTGTGCAAAACGCCTCGATTGAGCACCCGGACCAGTTTGCCCTCGACCTCGCTCACATTCCCAAGACATCCACCGCCTTTTCCTACCGTGTGTTCGCCGATGAGGCTAGCAATCCCCTCGCGCTCCGCGGTTTCGTGCCCTTGCTCCTCAAACCCGCGTGGAAGCCCCAGGGCGACAAGCTTGGCCTGCTCTTGCAGTACCAGCGCAGCCCGGCCTGCACCCTCCCTGGCCCGCTGACACTACACAACGTTGTCGTCGTCGCTACCTATGACGGCCGCGCCACCGGCGCTCAAACCAAACCCAGCGGCACCCACCTCAAGGACAGGCACCTGGTCTACTGGCGTCTTGGCGACGTGGTTCTCCCGGAAGACCCCGATACGGCGCAGAGAATTGTCTGCCGCATTCTCGGCGCCGACGGCGCCGAGCCCCGGCCCGGTCACGTCGAGGCCCGTTGGGAGTACCTCACATCCGGATCGGCCGCCACCGCCTCGGGCATCTCGGTCGCTCGCCTAGCTGAGGTCAAGGGCAAAGAGGTAGCCACCGCCAGCGACCCCTTTGCCGATGCCGACACTGCGCCGGACACGCCGCCCCTGCAGAACTGGGTCGACGTGCCCCTGACGCGGAAGCTCGTCAGTGGCAAATACGAGAGCAAGTGAAAGTTGAGAAAAAGATCAACAAAAGTATTCCCTGGATGGTGTCTCGCATTTTCTTTATCTCTTCTTCTTGGTTAGTACTGGTGTTCTTTTGGAATGCCCTCGTTTTTTTATAACCGTATATAGGTGCATCATGCCCTCCTTTTCTTTGGTTTCTTCCTTGTCTACAGATTAAACCCGAGCAGTACCAGTCCTCCTGTTTTCCGGTCAAGACTAGCACTAACTCTCTCCCTTTTCCCGCCTTTACACCCCATTTTCAGCGTCATTTTATATCTATACTCAGACCAAGGACTTGACCGTCCCTCTCTACCGCTTTTTTTGTTAATTTGTATCATGTAGCCATGCTTTTGTATCGAATAGTTTCTAGAGTTTATACACTTTTTTTCTCGAAGCAGATGGTCTATTTCAGGCATGTTTTTGTTCTTGATTGGTAGTCATATTGGCCTCCATGATGTTTCCTAGCTTAGTGCATGGTTGGCTTCTCTAGTTCAACGCCTCGAAATGTGCAAAATTTTCGCCATCCCAAAATAACAAAAATAGTACAGTCCCAGATAAATGTTCACCATCCCAATATACATGACCCACTCCCGACTGTCATTTTCGCTGATGCTACCGCTCTTTATTGTTGTTATGCTCCTCGTAAAACTCCAGCGTCAGCGCCGCGAGGAATCCCGGGATGCAGCCCTTTTCGCGGACCCAGAAGCCAATCTGGTCGGCAATGCGCTGGGCAAACTGGCTCTTGGGCCCGCCGCCAACCTTCATGGTGCCGCGCTCGCCGTCAAAGACGATGGAGTTTTCGTGCTCGTCCGTCTTGGACGGGTAAAAGGTGCTCTCGACGCGCATCTTGCCATTGGGGATAAACGTCACCGTCCACCCGAGCGTCGAGAAAATAGCCTCTTTGAACTCGTGCGACTTGCTGCCCCAGACTTCCTTCAGGCGGCGCGCAGACTTTTGCGCCGACGCCGTCTCAGCCCTGGCGGCAGCAATCTCGCGCTCCATAGTGCCCAGAACCGAGCTTGGTATATAGGGCACCGTCGTGGCCTTGCCATGCTTGGATTTGAGCGTGGCGAGGAGGTCCTTGTTCTCCTTTTGTAGCGCCTCGAGCGTGGCCCGCTTGATGGCTTCGTGATCCGTTGTCGGGTTAGAACGGAGTGACAGCACGCGTGTCTGGCCTTGAGACTTTGCCACTGCAAGCTGCTCGCGGCTGACGCTGAGCTCCTTGGCTTGTATAGCCAGCTTGGTCTGCAGGCCTGCGAGCTCTCCTTGCAGGCTACGGTTCTTGCGCGTCAGCTGACCGAGCTGCTCGCTGCCATCGTCGTTGGTGTAGGTGCGCTTGGATCCCGCGAGCGGCTGCGGCGTGGTGGGTGTGACAGGGTGTGGTTCGACAGAGGAAAGCTGGACATGAGCAGCTTGCAGCTCAATCTTGTAGTTGTCTATGAGAGCCTCGAGCTCCTGAACGCGATTTACGCGCACCTCGTCAAATTGCTCTGGCTGCATGGTTTGATCTTCTGTGTCAAAAGCCTTAAGCTGAGCGCGAAGGCACTCGACCTCCTTGAGAGCGAGAACCTTCTCACGCTCTAGACGCAAGCGAGTCTTGTCCGTAGACGTGGCGTTGGCCGAGGCCTTCACGATCTCGAGATCTTCTAGAAGCTTTGCTCTTTCCTGCTCGTACGACTGGACCGTGTTTTGTAGGGCAGTGATTTCACCGCGCAGGGCACCAATCTGATCGATGTAGTTTGCCGTGGTATAGCGCTCCTCTGCTAACGCCCGCGCCATGGCTTCGGGCGTGTCAAACTCGGCACCAGCGCCAGCCGAGCCGTCCAAATACGATGCCCATGAGCGTCTCTCATCTTCAAGGCGCCGCCTCTGTAGCCTAGCTTCTGCCAGCTCAGCCTCTAGCAGTTCGGCGGCTTCAACTCTACGCTGCAGCGACCTCTTTTCCTCTTCCACCACCTCAACTGCCTTGTTGACAGAGCGCAAATGCTTGAGTTCGGACAGCCGGTCGCGATTTGTGCTTTCCAGGGCACGAATGTGCTGCACTTGTTCGGACAACTCTCGTTTAATGGCCTGCATCGTGTCGGCATCGCCCGCCTGCGCTTTGAGACGCAGCACATCAGCTTCGAGAGCTGCAATATGCGCATCACGCTCTGCTACCTGGGCTTGGGTCCGTTGGATTACCTCCTCACGTGCGTCGCTATCGTGGCTGTAGTCTTTGGTCGCTCGTTGCAGTGCCGTTAGTTGCGTTTCTAAGTCGGTAAGCTTCTTCTTGCTAATTCGCTCCGCATCATCTCTGGCAATAGTCAGATCCTGCAGTTGCTCTTGGGCAAGATTGGCTTCGTCTTGGGCGGCGCGGAACTTGCGTTCCAACTCTCTGGTCGACTGTTCGCTGACATCTTTCAGGCCTTCAAGTTCGGAACGCGTTTCTTCGAGCTGTGCCTCGAATCGGCCCCGGGCAGCTTCTGCAATTTGGCGCTTTTGGAATTCATCCTGTTCTCGCCGTCTCGCCTGCTCGACCTTGTTGTTTTGTTGAGAGAGCGCAATTTCTTTTTCAGAGTCGGCCGTTTGCATGCGGTACTGTAGCGTGCCGATCTCGGCCTTGAGAGACTCAATTTCCCGTCGGTACTTTTCATATTCGTCGGCGTCGGGTGGTGCAAGGTTCTCCTTGATACTATCGCGAGAGCTCGGCCGCGTCGAGTCGGCCTGACTAGGGCTGCGTTGAGACAGCGCGCGCTGGTTTGAGTCGGCACCTGCCACCGGGTTGTAGGTCGTTTGCGTGCTGGCACGGAACGATGCAAGCTATAGGCGGGTTAGATGATTCTGCCTGCATAGCCCGGAGGTGGTGAGGTGCATGCCGCAGAGCTTACTCTCGAAAATTGCGGCCCGCGAGGCAATGACGACGTGCTGGCGCGCATTCGCGAAGCGGCTGTCGTGGCCGTCGCCTGGCGACTTGAGGGACGCTCCCCGGACTGAGGCGTGTTGCGTCTCATTGTTAAGAGGATATGGCCATGAGAAGCATGGGAAAGCAATGCGCCGCTCAAATAGCGATGGTATGGATGGTCGAGCGATGAGTTCTGGGAAAAAGCGTTCAAGTAGTCGATTATGTCGAGGCTAACTAGTGGTGTTGTGGAGGTTGGAGCATGTAAACAAGAGCAGACCTCCATCACAGAGGACGGTGGGGCAGCCTTTAGCCTTTCAGTTATGCGAGGAACGTGCAACAGGGCTCGCCAGCTGCCAACTCGCCGTTGGCCTCAAGCTCGCAGCTGCCAGAGACTTTATAAAGAGAGAGTACAAACGCGCACCACAATCACGTGAGGATCTGAGCCCAATTTCGAGATAACTTCACTTTCTATCCTCGTGCAATCCCGAGATAGGTAGTTATTCCACTGGTACCCGTCACCACCACCACCTCCCAAATGTAAGCCGCCCCTGGCTCAAAAGTCAAAAGTGACCAAAGTCAGGCAATCTTCGCCCCATCTCCGGCTGCCCCATCCTCTGTTCGCCCTGGTCAGACCCTGCTAGTGCGTCCCATTCGTCCCTGACAAAAAAGGCTCGTCCCCTAATAAAGTCTAACACCAGGGTAGCAAATTTCCCTGCGGCGCCCTCGTGGACAATAATACGACGTCGAGTGGACACTTTGCAGCTTTGCTCCCTAATAATAATCTGCACCCATCTCCTCGTTCCCTTCTCCCGACGACATTCTCCCGTTTGCTTCTTCGTCTCTCGCTACATCACGTCTTTCCTTTAACCTTCTTCATCCGAATCTATAATACTACCTTTAATCATGGCGTCCGTTTCCGAGTCGGCTCTGGTCGCCATTGCCGCCCAGCTCAGCCAGGTCATGGGCGCTCTCGAGAAGCAGGTGGGTTGCGTCTTATGTACTTTGTTTGTGCCGCCGAGGGGTTGTCGGAGTCGCTTCGCCGTTGCGCGCCGTGCCAGCCCTACGCGCGCGCAGGTCTCAATGGCGAGATGAACTAATGTGCCATAGAATTCCGAGCTCTCTGAGCTTCGTGTCGAGTGCTCTGCTCTGCGCACCCAGAATACCAACATGGAGCGCCTCCTCCAGGATAACGTGGTAGGTGATGCCCAACTCCTTTCTCGATATTGAGGCTCCACTCGTCAATTCCAGCTGGGCCTGGATTGTCTGCACCTCACTCATTGAGCGAGTGTAGACTGCATCCCACAGGAATCAATCGCACATGCAGTCGCTCTCGCTTATACTCGGCCTATTCATGATCCATTCTCCCCTGCTGCCTCATACTGATCCGTCACAGCACAAGTACGACAACCGCAACCTCAGCCTCTCCCACCCCTCCCCGGGCCTTGAGACCTCGTCGCCTTTCCTCTCCGCCACCTCTCTCCCCCGCGTGGCCTCTACTCTCACCTTTAACCCTCTTGGTGATCAGCCTCTTTTCACCACCGCCTCCCCCGCCTATGAAATTCCCGGCTTCTATGTCGTCATTCCCGCTGGTGGTGCTGGTACCCGTCTCTGGCCCCTGTCCCGCAAGAACCATCCCAAGTTCCTGCTCGATGTCTCGCTTTCAGGCCGCTCCATGCTGCAGTCTACCTGGAACCGTCTTGTTCCCCTGACTGGTTCCTCTCGCATGACTGTCGTCGCCGGTCCTGCTCACTCCGAGGCCATCAAGGGCCAGCTCCCCCAGCTCGAGGACAACAACCTGTTCACTGAGCCTGGTCCCAAGGACTCCATGGCCGCCATTGGTCTCGCCGCCGCCATTCTCGCCGAGCGTGATCCCGATGCCATTATTGGTTCCTTCGCCGCCGATCACATGATTTCCGGTGAAGATGCTTTCCTCGGCGCCGTCCGTGAAGCTGCCAACGTCGCCAAGGCTGGCTATCTCGTTACTATTGGTATCGCGCCGTCTCACCCTGCGACCGGCTTCGGTTACGTACAGCTCGGAAAGGCCCTCAACGGCCACAACGCTCCCACCGCCCGTCTCGTCAGCTCCTTCAAGGAGAAGCCCGATGCCCGCACCGCCGCCAAGTACCTCGCCTCCGGTGAGTACCGCTGGAACGCTGGTATGTTCGTCACGCGCGCAGCTACCCTCATGGAGCTTGTACTAGAGCACCGCCCCGAGATCCACGCTGGTCTCGTCAAAATCGCCAAGGTCTGGGACAACGAGCCTGAGCGTCTTGCTGTTCTCGCCGAGATTTGGCCTACTCTCGAGACAATTGCCATTGACCATGCTATTGCGGAGCCTGCCGCTGCCGAGGGTAAGGTTGCCGTCATTCCCGCCACTTTCGGTTGGGACGATGTAGGTGACTTTTCGTCCCTTGCTGAAATGCTTCCCGCCGAAGCCAACTCCCCTCGCGTTCTCGGTGACAGCGATCTCGTCGTTTCCGAGCAGACCTTTGGTGGTATCATTGTTCCCGGTTCCGGCCGTCTTGTTGCTTGCCTGGGTGTTGACGATCTGGTCATCGTCGATCTGCCCGATGCGCTCATGATCACCACCCGCGCTCGTTCGCAAGAAGTCAAGACGCTTGTGAAGAAGGCCCAGCGGGCTGGTTTCGGGAGCCTTATGTAGAGACGTTGTTTTGATGACGTGTCATGGATTCTGTGGCATCATTGACTGAAGAAAATTGCTTGCCAATGGGCAAGCTGTAATAAATGGCATCTTGGGAACGGTATTTCAGCTGTAATTTATACTAGCGTGCTAGCTAATTAACCACTTCACTTCTCTCATATTATTTCAAATTCATGAAGGACTTTTTCGGTGACTAGTGATGTTGGCTGAAGAATTCGCCTCGCGAGTTAGGACGACCCATCACAAATACCCTACACCCACAAACTATAGGCCAAGAGTCGAACACAGCCCTCAGCGCATAGGATTTATCAATGAGGGCATGCATCGAGTGCAGCTGCCAAGCGACTGGTGTGATACAAGGAATTGGTTACGACGACATGATTAATACCACGATGTGTGCCATCTTTCATGGTAAAAACGGCTAGCTACACAACGCGACAGACAAACTAAGCTGCGTCATCGTGTTACTGTAGTAAGAAGGCAAACATTGAGATGACAAAACTGTTATTGAAGTAGCCAAGTTGTACTAGATCTGTTCTGCCACCTTCTTTGCCAAGTATACCTCTCTCCAATTTATTCGCGTCTGTTCCTTTAGCAGCCACACCGCCATGACACAGTTGCGAAAAAGTACTGAAGCCATATCCAACCCAGACCTTCCAAGCATGAGAACCTCGTGCTCCAGAGACCCCCGTGGCCGCTGGAGTCCTGTTGATTTGTAAAGAAGAAACAGTTTCTGGGTACAATATGTATGAAAAGAATTGGGTTATAGTTGCCGCTACCGCCAGCGATCGTTTCGACTCTTTCCTCTCATCAGGCTTGCGCGTGCCCCATCACGGCAAGCAAGGAAGCCGTCGTAGTATCGTGATTAAATTGCAAACGTTCGAGGAAAGTGGTAGGCAACGACGTGTTTTCTCATTAGAATTTGAGTGCGTGTTGGCTTCCACGCTTCGAGAACCTTGCAAGGTAAAGACGCTTGTCTGTTGGTGGTTATAGGTAGTTGCTTCTCCGTGATTGTTATCGCGATGGTGCCATGGCTCGACGGTTTGGCTACGCTGGAGGGCAAAGGCCTTGACGGTGGTGTTTCTTTCTGTGCCGAAGTATCGGGAAGGCTAGATGCGTTCTGCAGATCCGCAAGCGATCTGTGATGTAGTGAATGATTGCATTCCGATATAAATCAGGTCGCGGTAAAAGGAGTGTTCATCTGTGCTGCAAAGGAGCTTTCTGTTGATAGAGGGCAAGGAAAAGAAGTTTTTCCAAGACAAAGGAAATAAAAAGGAATGATGTGTCGAGTGTGGAAGCACTGCAGAGCAAGAAATCTTCGTTCCTCTTGGGGAGGCCGACGACTATATATGTACGCGTCTTGACTGTTGGTTTAGGTGTACGTGGCCACAATTGCGGATAAACAGAGAATTCGCGTTTCTAAGCTAAAGCATGGAGTAAATAGAAGCAAACACGAAATTGACTTGTTGTTGAGCGCAAAATATGAAGCTATGCGCGTGTGCAGATATGAGCGGACTACTGTTAAATATATCTAGTATGAACTAGTGTGAAGCTAGGCCAACAAGTAGCGAGAAAACAGTAAACACGAACCTTTGAATCCAAAGGGTTCTAGTCGCCTAGGTCTTATTGAAAAGAAATCTTCTCCATTTCCCATGCGCCCACATCCAACGCGCCTACGAGCCAACCACTCGAGCCATGCGACGCGGGGTCGAGTCTAGAACCCCCTCTCCCCAATACAGTCTCCAAAAATATGAAACCCTGCATTCTGTCATCAAGCCTATTAAATCGGGCCATCGCGGGCGTGATGCCGTCTCCGAGGGCCCTGCGGAATCATGCGGGGGGGCTTCCCCATCAAATTCCCTCGCCAAGACGGGGCTGAAAGCCAACCATGTTACCCAAGCCCAAGACCAGACTTTGGCGGGGGAGGAAAGCAAGATTGAGGCTGAAGGTAGGGCCGTGCCTTTGATGTGGCGCACGATGCCGCTTTGAGAAGGTCAAGATGCTCATCGTCAAGTTTTAGACTACTGAGTTATGCATATCCTTGGGGTTGCATTGAGGGTGGACTGGTTGTTGCTTTCAGCTCCCCCATTCGCAACTTGGGTTAACTGGACTCGAGTTCTGTGCCAAGGACCACTACGATGATCCCAGTCGTCTTGTGAAATATGAGAATGGGTAACCAGCGCGACGTGACGATGGCCGGAATTGGGTGAGTCCAAGTCAACGGAAACGTACACCGTGGCACATTGATGTGTAGCGAATTCTGACCTGAGATCAAACAATTAGAGTTACACTGACTATGTACGGTGCCTGAGTTGTTCACGGGCCGTACAAACCTTGATGCCGCTGGATGTTCTGGTGCCGTGTCCATGTACATATGCGGAGAGACCATTCCGGCAACGTGACCGAGCATCTGGTCGGGGAAAGCAGCCCACACCGTGAACTAGGCGCAGGCTGGACTCGAACTGGCTAACAGAGTAACCAATCACGGTAGTGAAACATACACTTTGCCCTGCCAAGTGCTGACGTTTTGTTCTTGGCTGCATCTTGGAATCAGTCGTGGCGAGGACCCGATGCACGTCCAAGACCGCACCATGGCCAGCTCAAGAGGGGTAGACTTTTCAGCTCTGGATAAAGACTCGGCTTCAATACGATCTTTACGATGTTGCTTTGGGTTCAGAGTTAAAACAGAGAGGCTGGCAGGCGTGTATAAGTAGGCCAGGTGCGGCCGGACAAGGAACAAGTCGACATCCTCTCAAGCACTCTACGTTGCCAGCCTCTTCTCCTACTCACTCCAACTTTCACTCATTTCAATAAAATCTCTGATTCTAAAACCGACCATCCACCAACATGAAGTTCGCCATTGCCACCGCTTTCCTTGCTGCTTGCGCCAGCGCTGTTGAGATGAAGGCCTGCAGCGGAACAAACATGGGCGGCTCCTGCACCGCCAAGGTACGTAAAGTTGTCCCCGCAGATTGCAGAATGAAAGCTAACATTGGGTTTCTAGACTTCCCTGTAAGAAATTAATTCTCTATTGCCCCCCCGGTTCTCGAGCTGGTGACTGACAACATTTAGGGGCTCTACCTCGGGCAGCTGGAACTCGTACAACTTCCGTGCCTCGACCAACCGCTGTGTTCGCGTTTGCAACGGCTGCAGCGTATGTTTTGCCGATTCCCTCTCGTCCCTATTACGAAAAAAGTTGCTAATAGCCGCATAGAGCCTCGGCTGGCGCTGCCAGACCTACTCTAACAACAACATCAAGTTCACCAAGTTCATCATCTTTGACTGGGCGGGCGGCAATGGCCCCGACGCCACCACTTGCTGTTAAATTATACACGACAAGAAATACACATATGAGATGTGCCACTTCGATTCTTGAGAATCTTTTAGTTGCCGCAACGCTTTCCTGTGTACAAGGCGATGGGTGATGGCTTGGATCAGTTTCAGCCGGCAGGATAGATAGCCAGGTTATTTAGCCAGTGAATATTGAACCAATTTATCATCATATTAGTGCGACGAGTAAATGACATCTGTAGGGCAGCACTGTGTCATAAGGTAACTAGTTTAACTATTGCCTGACTTACATGCTTGCATGCCCCCGGCTGGGGACCCGCACTCCACTTCCGACAGCGATCCACATCCGCGATCGCTTCTTTTCCAGTCTCAACTCGACATTCTCTCCGAACCATTACGACTTTGCCGGCCGAGCGGCCCCTGACGCATCCTCACAGCAATCTCGCGCATACACCCACCGAGTAACCTCTTGCGACATGATACCCCTATAGACACGAGCCCCCAGATACGCAGCGCCCTCGCAGCCCAGCCGACCGGAGCTGCGCACGCCGCCGGTCCAACAATCTCAGCCTCGGACACCGAAGCAACGCTCCCTTCCCGGAGAAAAAGAAACCCCAGACACAGCCATGACGCAGCCTTCCAACACACCGACGGCGCCGCCGAGCAACGGCACCCCGGCGCAGGCCAAAATCGGCCCGCATCCGGGCTTCATCTCCAGCTCCAACCAGTACTCGTCCGAGACGCGCATACGGCGCATGTTTCGCTCCAACGGCTGCGATCCCGCGCGCGAAGATAACTACCGCCTGCAGGGTGTGCAGCTGATTGAGAATGTGCGGGAGCATCTAAAACTGTACGTCACCCAAGGTAGACAGAGACCCGTGTCCTTGCTGACCCAGACCCCCCCCCCTCGCCAGGCCCGTTCGGACCTTTGACACGGCCTGCATCTACTTTCACAAGTTTCGACTCAACTTTCGCGACGCCGAGTACAACTTTCACGACGCGGCGCTCGCATCGCTGTTTTTGGCGTGCAAGGTCGAGGACACGATTAAGAAATCAAAGGACATACTGGCGGCCGCTTACGCCGTGAGGAACCCAGACAAGCCTGCGCCGACCGACGACAAGGTGCGAACCAAGCCCGTCTCTCCAGAAAATCTCACAAAGCCGGTTGAAACGACCGGATTACTGACCTTTGTTCTGCTTCCTAGATGTTTGAGCAAAACGGCAAGACCATCATCGGCCTTGAGCGCCACATCCTTGAGACCATTGGCTTCGACTTTCGCACGCGCTACCCGCAGAAGCTGCTCGTCAAGATTGTGCGCAGCATCTTTGGCGCCTCAGGCACGTCGTCGCGCGCCTTTTACGAAACCGCCTACGCCATGTGCATCGACATGTACAAGACGCTCGTGCCCATCAAGCGCACCACGTTTGCCATGGCCATGGCCGTCGTCGAGCTCACCGCGCGCCTCCTCAGCGGCGGCGACGGCAGCGACCGGTCGCTCCTCGACCGCGTCGATGCCTTTGCCGCCCAGCGCCGGCAGTACGCCCGCGCGCCCGTCGTCGAGACCATGCTGGACCTGCTGGACCTCTACGTCCAGCACCACAAGGCCACCAAGCTCGGCGCGCGCTTCGACCTCGCGCGCTTCATGGACATGAAGATCCGCCTCAACCAGGACCTCGACGCCTCGTGCGCCCCGCGCTTCCTGTTTTACTGCCAGAAATGCGAGATTGACGCGCCGCTGACCGAGCCGGCCGCGGATCAGGCGTGGTCGGTGGAGGCCCGCGATGCAGGCCCCGCGCAGCGCGCCGCGCGCAGACAGGACGGCACCATGCGCTTCGTCTTCGCCCCCGAGGCGGCCCGCACGGAACACGACGCCGTCGGCCGCTTCTTCAAGCAGGAGTACGAAGAGTACGAGATGGAGGTGGAGGAGCCCGTGCCCCCGCCGCCGGAACAGCCGCGCGGCCCGCGAGACGGGAGGGACGGTGGCGGCGGCGGCGGAGGTGGGCGCGGCGGTGGCCACGGACGAGGAGGCAATTATCGAGGTGGTGGCCACAGAGCCCGTGGGGATAGGAGAGGAGAGCCGTATGGGAGCTACCGCGGCGGCGAGCGATACCATAGAGGAGGACGCGGCCGTCATCACTAACACCGAGCTGTGGGCTGGTAGGACGAACCTTGTTAGTTGACGGGCGGTTTATTTTTAAGTCAGGGTAGCTTGGCAGCCTAGCATGTATGTGCCTGTATGTATATATACACAATGTTTCATCTTTTTTAAGCTACAGTCTTGGTATCTTCCTGTCGTAGCTCCGCGCCCGCCGGGTCGCTCGTCTTGACACTGTCCAGCACTGCGGCGTCCTCGCCACCGTCCGGCGAGTCCCCCTTTGCATGCCGCTGCAAGTCCACCGTCCGGACGCTGCTCGCCCTGCTGACGTTGGCGCTGGCGGGGCTTTGCAAGCGCACGCCAAGGTCCTTTTCACGCACCTCGTGCGGCGGTCCGACCGCCGTCACCGGTTCAGCAGCAGCAGGCACAACACCACCACCGCCGTCCTCGTCGGCGAAGCGCCACACGACCGACATCTTATCCAGGCCGCGGCTGCCCTTGCGGCTCGTGCCGCGGATGCCGTCCATGGCGTCCCACGTAATCGTAAAGACGCCGCTGGGGTCCGGGCGGCCGCCCTGCTCCGGCCCGCGGCCCTCGAAGAAGGCGTTGAACCAGACGTGGCCGACGGCGGAGACGGCCGTGAGCCCGATGCGCTTGTGCGCGCGGTGCCGCCGCTCGACGGCGATGTTGACGTCGCTGTGGGGCACGCGGATGGGCGTCGCCGGGCGGAAGATGACGGCCATGCCGCCGGGTTCGGTCTCGCTGCTGCTGCTGCTGCTGGACGGTGTAGAGGAGGCTGCGGTTGGCTGCTCGGGGATGATGAGGTCGGGTTGGGTCTTGGGCGCCGGAGGGGGTGCCGCCGCGCTCGTGTCCGCTTTGTTGGTGGCCGAGGCAAAGTCGGCGTCGGCCGGGGCCTTGCTGGCCGAGGACAGGCCGGCCATGTCCCAGACGAGCTGGGAGAAGCCGCCGTCCGTCGGCGGGTCGCCGCGGACAATGTGCCGCTCCTCGGTGCTGAACGTGTGCAGCGACTGAATCCTCCTGCCCTGCTCCGCAAAGGCCTCGACGTCGACCCTGACGCCGTTGCGCAGGCCCCATACGTGAATCTCGACAATCTCGAGGGGCCTATCTGCGTAGGGCTGCTTGCCGTGGTGGGTCCAGCGGTCGACGTAGGCGACCCAGCGCAGCTGGGAGGGGATGGAGACGCCGGCGCCGAAGCGCATGCGGCGCTCTGTGAAGCGGGCGAGGGCGTCTTGGGCGCGCCAGCCCTCCTCGGCGAGCATGTAGCAGACGCTGGCGGTGCCGCTGCGGCCCTTGCCGGCCTTGCAGTGGACGACGACGACGCGGTGCGGGTGGCGCTCGGGGGTGGTGGTGCCGGTGACGCCGTCGAGCGCGCCGCCGTGCAGCCAGTGGCGCATGCTGGCGAGGATGCGCGGCACGAGGGCAAACGGCGGCGGGTGGTGGTCGGGGAAGGGAAAGTGCAGCACGCGGTCGTGCGCGAGCGCGTCCGGGTAGCCCGTGCCCTCGGCGCGGAACTCCCAGATGGCCCAGTCGGCGCCGTGCGCGCCGTCGAGGAACGCGACGAGCTCGTCGAGCGGGTTGCGGTAGGCGCGGCGCGGGTACGTGTGCGAGGGGCCGGAGCTGCGGGAGAGAGGGAGGGAGAGAGAGTCAGCGGTTTTGGCATTGATGGTTTCGGGCTGGAGGGGTTTCAAAATGAGGGACGTACGTTGCGATGATGTAGTCGGTGACATAGCACAGGTCCAGACGTGCTTCTGGATGCGCCTTGCGCGGACCGGCGACGATGGACCGCAGGACGGACGTCATTTTGCAGGAGAGAGAGAGAGCAATGCCGCCCTGGTTTATCGGCTCTCTGGAGGGAACTTGATGGGGAAAGAAGAAGAAGAACCAACCCAGGATATCCGGGGAGGACGTGAGGTGTAGATATACAAACCCAGCTAAGCGCCGATTGCAGAGGCTTTGGCTTGGCTGGCTGAAGGTTCGGCGCGGCACGGCAAGCAGCGACACAGGCGGTTGCGTGGTTGCGTGTCACCCCGGCCTCGAGACAATTCTCTTCTTGGCCAAACGAGTACAAGGTCTGACTGGCGCTTCGGTATTTTCAGTTTCAAAGAACTTGCCGCATTTTTCTGATGGCTGTGAGTTGGAGTTGGAGTTGGGGATGCAGTTGGAGAGAAGAAATCCGTCAACGACGTCATTGGCTCTGGGGGCTTGGCGAGACTGGCGGCCTCCAGGGAAATCCAAGTTTCAAAAATTGCACAAGACGTAGAGCAGGGCCGCACAAATACAATTCGGGTTTGATTATCATCTTCTTCATACTTGCTATTTTCAATCCTTGTCATTTTCTTTCTTGCTTATTCCTTTCTCAATTATTCCCGTCTTCCCCATCTCGTAGTTGCAGTCATGTTTCCGATATTTCTCATCTTTCCAATTTGTCCTATTTTATTTCCTCTTCTCCCTATAATATTTCAGAGCAAGCGAAGCAATATAATTCCTCAGTCAGCCATGTCGCTAGTTTGATGTATTGACGACACATGGTTCGGTCAAAGCTGAAATCCTCCACATGATGGTCTGTACACGATAGGGAAGAAAACCATGTGAGCCGCAAGAACGCCTATCGTCGGAAGAAGAAGCGAAAGGGATTCTTGGCCCGCCGGCTGCCGGAACTTGCTACCGTCTTGGGCGTGGGGGCAAGGTTCTTGGGCGTAGCCGTAGGTGTGGTCGTGGCAGTTCCATTGCGGCCACTACCATCGTTATCGCTCCCGGTCCCGCCGTTGTCGCTGCCAGTTCCGTTGTTTCCACTGCCTCCGTTATCTGGGCTCGTTCCATTGTTTGCACCGCTTCCGTTGTCTGGGCTCGTTCCGTTGCGTGGCTTCGCGGCCAGGTTGTTGACGTTGAGGCCGCCGCTCATGGTCGCTTCAATGAGGTCATGACCAATGGCAAACTGGAAACCATCCTGGGCGGTGAGATTCGCGAAATCATCTGCATGCATTTGCTGTCAGCGTATCATTCTGAAAAAGACTGCAGGGGGCATGTTGAGAAAAACACTCACACCAAAGCTTGTTCGCCTCGGGATGCGGTCCCGTGGTACCGACCCAGCCCTCGCCGTACTTGTTGATGGTGGCGGCGACGTCGTCCGTCTTGGAGTACCGCGCAATGACCATGCTCGTGTCCGTCTCGGGAAAGTCCTTGACCAAGTTCCCTTCCTGGTAGAAGATCCAGCGGTTCGTGGCCACGGTGCCCGCTTCCTCGCCGGAGCTAAAGGCCCAGTCGACCTGGATCGTGGTGTCGCGGGTGTGCCTGACCTGGGCGTCCGGCTCGTCGCATTCGGCGGGGACGGAGGAGCCCGGGGGCAGCAGGGCGAGGCCGGGGTCATCGGCAGCGAGGTAGGCGCCGAGGCAGAAACCGAGATACCGGCCGCCGCCGGCGACAAAGTCCCGGATATACTGGGCGACGGGCTCGAGCTCGGCCCATGCGTCGTCGACATCTGTCAAGGAAGAAAAATCGGGGTCGATTAGCATTGGAGATTGGGAGGACGGGGGGCAACGTCATCACGGCAATAGGTGGTGGAAACAAGTTTCAGGGGACATGATCCGCCCCCCTGACGCCACATCTTGGCTTGTGGATAGGCAGGGTTGACGGGTTGGCAGACAACCGACAGATGGGGGCGCTTTATTGAACAGTGCAGTGGAGAGATGTAGGAGAGTGGGAAACAAGTGTGCAGTGTATTGCGTTTGGTAGCAGTGTATTGGGTGTTGAGAGGAGTGTATTGCTTTTGACAAGAGTGTATTGCTTTTGGGAGCAGTGTATTGCTTTCGACAGCCGTGTATTGCTTTCGACAGCCGTGTATTGCTCTTGGCAGCAGTGTATTGCTTGTTGACAGCAATGTATCGTCTCTTGCTCTCTTTCAACACGGTATGCAGTATATTGCTTCTTCACAGGAATGCAGGCAACGGAAAGAAACAGACAGACAGGACCATGACAAGGGAAACAGCACAACATACCGTCACCGCCTGGAAAGGCAAAGACTTGGACCGTCTTGAGACTCTCGGGGGTAATCTTGTCGGCCCAGACATAGCTGACGTTGAAGTTGCGGGCAGACGACTCGAGCAACTCGCCGACGGCGTGAGACAGCTCGGGATCATCTTTGGGGCCGCGCCACACAAAGGCTGCGGGACGGCCGTCTTGGGCCGCACCGGGACCGACGAGCAGGGTCATGACGAGGAGGGCCAGGGAGAGCAAAGACGTGACCCGGCGAGAGGATGTCGACGAGGTGGACGGAGAGACCTAGGGTTCAGAGACGTTTGTAAGCTACCAATATGTACGGATAGTGGCTGCAACAGCTGCAACACCCTCGGGCCGTGCATGTCTCATTGGAGTCTCTTTAAATTACTCCGTATTTTTTTGGGTTTTTTTTCGTGGCTTGCAGGAGAATGGAGCTTTCTTACCATGACGAGCGATGGGAGAAAAATTCAACGTTACTTTGGTTGCGAAGTCGGGATGCAAACTGCAAACGCACACACCACACACAGCTGCACACCCCCGTGAGCTTGGGGGCAGAATCAATCGGCTTATTCTCGAGTTGGTAATAAGGGTCGATGTGCTGCAGGAATTCTTTTTTTTTTCCTCTCTCGATTTATTGCTTTGCAGCCGTAGTACGATTTTGTGTAAGACGGGAATGCCACAAAGACGTGGGAAGGAGGGGGAGGGACCACAAACTAGGGCGAATCAGGCACGAGCTGACCACCACACAGCAATAGAAGAAGAAGGTCGCGACGTTGCAGGTAATTAATATAAGCTGTTCAGCTGTGGATGATGGAGGCAAAAATAAAAAGATTTTTTCAAAATGAATCGCACTTGGTTCGTTAAAGAAACAACTCGAATGGACGAGGAGCGTATTTATTTAATCAACTGGAAGGAGGGCGATGCAGGCATAAAAGGGAAGAGACCGCGGAACACAGCGAGATTCCTGCCTGGGCTGCGGCAGGCTCCGAGGATGGGGCGCCGTAATTTTGTCAAAATTGAGACAAACAAGAGGCGCATTGTTTGCTTCATCGAGTCGTCAGTAGTGACAAAGTACGCCCTGCCAGCCTGGCAGCGGTTGGGGGTGACGCTTCATCGTGGCGCAGTCTATTAGAAACGGCCTCGTAACTACTTGGCATGGGACGTATTATGCGAAAGGAAATCCATACTTAAAAAAACAAAACGCGCTGCGACACATGGGAGCTTCGTCTCTGCTTCATCCTCCTCTTCATCCAAGCATAAAAGCGGTCGTTCGTTCCAAACGCGGGACAAAGCTCCCAACCTCGCTTCAAGGGGTGGTGCCCAGCTTCTCCCTCCCCATGCCAAAAGCCAAAGCCAAAAGCAACAAAGCCCCAATAACGCCACTCACCGGAGGCGGCGGCGCTCGCTCTCGGAAAGCCGTCCTATCCGCGGCGCCGTTTCGGCTTGGAGGGGGGAGCCATTTGCACGTCACAGGACGAGCGCGCCGGACGGGCGCGCGAGATTGAATTTTTTTAAAAGTGGCCTCGGCAAAAGGGAGAAAGAAAAAAGCACGAAAGCCGTCGACATGATGGCGAAGTTTGTTGTTGTTGGGCTGAAGGAGTGCGGGGGGAGGAGGAGGCGTTGACCGATCCCGTCGGCGGAAAAAAAGGAGTAGACTGTTTTGGAGTTTATTTTACACCGAGGCCAACGGGAGGAACGAACCTAACTACCCAACTACGAGAAAGGGGCGGCTCTCTTCCGATGGCGTTGTGCGGCGGGCGCTCTCTCTCGGCGTGACCCGGTGATGGAGAAATCACTGTCCGGCCGACGATGCCGTTCTCACGACCTATTCCCAGTGCTGACCACATTGGTGTGCCCAGCCTTTCCACCAAAACTACTTGCGCACAGCAAAGTCAGTCGGACATGCGGACAAGGTCCAACTACTGCTCATTCACCAGCAGACGACGATGCCCGACCTCCCTCCCAAGCCGTCATTCCCAAATGAGCATCTTGTCTACTCGTTCGGAATAGTGCATGGGGTACCTGCCGCTTTTCCGTCATTTCCACTATTACCCCTCGCCGATCCCCTGGCCCATTCCTGAAATCCTCGGCACTTGGGAACATGGACACTTTGCATTACACGAACATGCGTCCGTGATTCAGACTCACCTACCGAGTACCACCAGTGCCAAGTATTTCTTCCACGAGCAGAGCAGAGACGGCAACAAGCGCTTCTCGCACCACAAGCGATTTCGACACATGGGTCAATGACAAGCCTGTGAACCCTTGCTGAGGCCCCCTTGGGCCCGCCCTAGCGTGGCCCACGGCATCGTAGATCCGTGTCTGCGTCTGAACCCAAAAGAGCGGTCCAAACTAACTAGTTAGCTAGGCATTCAAGCATTCAAGCATTGTATCGGTCTGGCGCTCAGGTTGTTACTGGGGCCCATGTTTTGACGGGATCAACACTGCCAGTACGACCACGGGGCCCAACGTTGCGTCCGTCAGCTCTGCGACAAGGGCAGACGGACGAAACTAGTGCAAAAGGAAAGGTAGGTTTGCCTCTCCTGGTTGGGATTCATCATCCTTTGGGCATGAACTTTTGTTTTCGTGGCGTGCAGCAATGTACAAAAGGTACAAGAGTACTACGTACTATATTGTACTCTTCTCACACAACAACCCATGCGCTAAATTTAGCACCAAGAAGCGCATCCGCAACAAAAAGCCTTGGCATCCGTTTACCAACATATCATGACAAGACGCTAGTTGTAAAAAAAAGATGGATTACGAGAATGAAAATGTGGCTTCGGCGGAGGCCGCTGACTTGCTCGATAGCCGTGAAGAAGGCGTTTCGGCCCCCTCACCCCAGGGCTGAAGAGGGCAAGAAGATGGAATAAAGTAAATTCAGTCATGTCGTGATAAGGATAACCAAAAAAAAAAAAAAAAAAAAAAAAAGGAAAAAAAAAAGAAAACTCTTCTAGATGATGCCAAGACACTTCAGCTCCTCCCCGCGCCTCGCACTGATTGGGCCGATGGTCCAGCAAACTCCATCTTGAAGCATCTAAGATCCCGTCTAGGTGCCGCCACCGTTCCGCCACCATTCTGCAACTGGCGCGTTTTTCTCACGCAGATGAGCTCACCTGTCAGAGCTGAATTCTTGGCGAGATGGAAGCCGAGATGGAAACAATACCACAATGTCCAAACGCCGCCGGAGGAGGAGGAGGAGGAAGGGGGGCTTGCAAATAGAGTTTTTCCGTTGCTCATTGTCATCGAGTCGCATGATCCATGTCCTCGAGTTGATTTGCGCTGCATCGAGTGCCGTTTCGACCAAATGACGCGGCTGCCGATCTGATCCAAAATAAAATAAAAAATACAAGAAATAATAATCGAGAGGCCAACTACATGTGCGTGTAGCTCAGAAGCATGGCCCCCGATGCCGATATAGCCGCTGCCCCATTGGCGGGGGGTTTGTCTCTTTTGCAAGTCACTCAGCCCACTGCGGAACGAACTATACCAGCCCAAAGCCAGCGTTTGAGTTTCTCTTTGTTTCTTGCCCGTATAGGGAATTCTCGCCTTCTCTGACTGAGCCGGATATCGGCGCGCAAGCCATGGGCCCGCGCTGCCGAGTGAGCCATTGTGGTTGGA